TGACAACATACTGTCCAAACTGAATAAACAGGTTACAAAGAAAAATGACTACTTAATTTGCCAAGAGACAGGATGACCCTGCTTCATCAAAAACTCTGTCAGACATCCTGGGCCTATGGGCTGAAGATAGATGCCCCAACACTACAGAGGAACTTTGGGTGATTGTCCAGGCAGCGAGATGTCTGTCAATTCCAGAGTTTATATATTATCCTTCTGAGGTCTTTGATGGAGTTGAAGACAGAGAGTTACGTTATGGTTCTCCTTAGTTATGATAAAAGATAAATTACATATAAACTTTAGACTCACAAAGATAGGATAGATGATAGAATATTTTCTTTAAATTTTGCCAAGTGTTAGTGGACTAAATATTGTTAACTATAGGTCTTGCATAATAACTATTTTGTTATTATATACATAATTATATTATATAAATATATAATAATTATATATATAGTTATATATATAATTTTACCACGTTAAAGTTAAAACCTTCCTTTTAATTCAGACAGAAGAGATGGGGGAGGTCCTTCTGTATGCTGTAAATATACATTTCTCTTACTGGTTGATGGATAAAGCTGTTTCAGCCAGGGGACAGGCAGGATTTAGCCAGGTGGGAAACCCAAACATGGATAGAGAAAGGTAGGAGGAGGATTTGCCGTTTAGTTACTGGGAAGTAGGATCCCTGGGCGTTCTCTGGTAAGAGAAGGCCATGTGGAGACACACAGATTAATAGTTAGGGGTTAGCAGTTAAGAGAGAGCTAGCCACTAAGAAGCCTGAGCAACAGGACAAACAACTACAATTAATATAAGACCCTGTGCTTATTTGGGAACAGGCGGGAGAGAAACTTCCGAGTACACTGCGCAATTATCTGACCTCCAGCATGTCTTGCTCCCTCCACCCGTCCTGGCAACCCTACTTTTCTTCTTCCCAGCGTCTTCTGTGTCTGGCTGTCACTCCTATACCTCCCGCCCAGCTAATGGCCATTTAGCTTTGTATTACACCAGTCCCAGTGACGTATCTTCACCCAGTGCGAAGGACTATTCCACAGCAGCCCACAGCGAGGCGGATGTGTGCACAGGCGCTTATCACCCCGAGTGTCCACTGAGGGAGGCATCGGGGGTGGCGCCAACAGGGGACACGTGCAGTCATGACCATGGGCACTGCAGTGGCTTCATGCCCTGGATACCTCGGGCACACAGCCGACATCCCCAAGGGGCCAGTAACCGAGAGGCACACCGCCGCGAACGAAGTGTGGGAAACCCAGGGTATTTTTAAGGAGCAGGAGAAAATGACAGAATGGGAAGCAGGATGGACCAATCGGGGGATGCCACCGTGATTCAGATGAAGGACCAGGAGGTCTTTACTGGGGCAGCACAGATCATATTTCAATCAGAACAGGAAAGATCTGGCAATGTATTGGACCAAGGAAGAAAAGACTGGAATACTCTCATATTGTCAGCCCTGGGAGGGAGGAGAAGCAGGGCTTAGCTTAGCGAGCAGTGCAGGAAAGGGCTTGCCTTAGGCAACTCTGCTGCTCCCACCTGATGTCCAAATTCCACGTGACAAACCTCTTGCCACACTTGTGACTACACTCTTAGCCCTGACGCTAGTCAGGCACACACACTGTCTCAGAGAGGATAACTTTTTTTTTTTTTTTTTCCGAGACAGGGTTTCTCTGTATTGTTTTGGAGCCTGTCCTGAACTCTCTCTGTAGACCAGGCGGCCTCGAACTCACAGAGATCCGCCTGCCTCTGCCTCCCGAGTGCTGGGATTAAAGGCGTGCACCACCAACGCCCGGCAAGAGGATAACTTCTAATCTGTCTCCTTACTAGCAATTAGCGGTAATTAACAGGCAGGAATCCTCATCAGAAGTGCTGCGGAGCCTCTGAGTCCACACCACGACAGACTCAGAAGCTGCAGGGCTCCACAGGGGAGGCTGACACCACCTCACTGGCTAGCAGCGGATTACACAGGCAACTCCGCAAAGACAGGTGAACAGCAGCACAAGTCACGTCTTATTTCAGCTGATTCCTGAATGTTCTGGAAGTCAGAGCTGAACAAAACTAAAGAATACACCGCTGTGACAGAGCAAACTCAGCTGCAATTCAGGGCTGTGTGTTCCGCTGCTAATAATCCCAGTGACCTAGGCACCTCTGCACAAAAAACAGAGGCTGTAATAAAACAGCCTTGCATCCCTGATTTTCAGGGTTAAAACCATGTAAAAGGGTGGCCCACAGTAAATGCTCTGTGCTAAAACAGGACAAAAAAGTTGCTTTGAAACACTTTCAACACAAGGAACTGCTCCTCTGCCACTCCCTGGCTGACTTTTCTTTGTTAGCCCAAGGGGCTCACTGGAAACTGGGGGTTGGTGGAGGGAGGGGCAGAGGATGGGGGAGAGAGGGCTTGGGTAGTAAACATTCCCTTTCTTTCCCAAGCAACAGTGGAACTGACTGGGAAGAAGTTGACGGTGCCCAACACCTAGGAGAGGAACTCACAGCTGAGCACCAGGGCCAAACAGGCCTTTAACCAGAAGCACAGCATGGAAGCACCACAGCCAGCCAGTGCCTGTGTCACAGGGTCAACTACTGACTGATTATTCCCACTCCAAGCCAAGGGCTGTGCTGAGGCTGGACTGACCAACAGGTCTGCAGGGAGAGCCAGCCCTGACCCTGAGACACATGACACAAGCAACAGCCCGGTCAGCAGACTCCTTTGTTTGCCTCCATCCCAACACAGGCTCTTCGCTATTATTGGAAGGGTTTCCGGTACGGTCCCCTTTACAGTGGCCTCTCTCGGTGAGTAGAAAATGATCTAACTTGGGGCTGAGGTTGTAGTTCAGCGAGCAGAAGAGTCTGGCTTGCTCCCAACACCTCACACAAGCACCAACTTAGAGACATCAGAATTTTTATAGTCTGGAGGTGTTTTTGGCAAGAAGACCCAAAGCTGTGACAGCTAAGGAAAGAGTCAGTCAGGGAAAGAAAGAGGCAGCCATCGAGCACTCACTTGCCTACCTTCCAGGAAGCCCCACGCTCAATGCCCAGTATTAAAACACAAAGCTGTACTAAGGTGAAATCCAAACAAGACCCACATGCAATCTGTTAAAAAGGAGTCTTGGCAGCAGTTCATGTCAGCACCCAAGGGCCTCTGGGGCCGGCTCCCAGCCTCCAAGTCTCCCCCTGACCCTGCGCTGGCACTCAGCCTGCCGCTGTGCAAGTCCTTCAGTCTTCCTTCCCCCGTGGAGAGCTCACAAAGATCACATTGCACGGGGGAACAGCAGGTTCTGCGGCCAGTAAGACTGAGAAGACCTAGGTCGCACACTCTAGCCTGACTTCAGAACTCAGTCAGGTTACATGTAGGCTGTTCACAGGGATTCACAACAAACGTACTTGAAATCCTAAAAAGAATTTTCACTTAGCATTTTTAACTAATTACTGCAGTTACTGAGTCATAATTATAAAACATTCCCTCTGTTCAGAAGGCAACTTAGTGTCAGGGCCGAGATGGCTCACACACAGCCTTCGATGCTAAGAACGATGACCCATGCAGGAAGTCACAAGACCAAGGCTGGAACCCAAGCCTGCCCGGCTCCACACGCTGAAGGCTGACTCAGCACATCAGACTGAAACACTAACACAAGTTTAGCACGTCTGAGGACGCCGATCTAGCAAACATTCATCACTCATTACTGCCATGCTTTGTGACGTCTACACCCACTGAAGATGACTGACACTGCTATAGCTAACTTGTTTTGGTGGTATACAGCAAACATTCTTACACTAAGGTCCAGATGAACACTCTTCCAGAAGTAGCCTCCACTGAAACTCTAAAAAGCCAAGGGACATTCATATCTGCACACTAAGTGTTCAGAGGCCAGCCTATTGAGAACAAGCAGTGGATCCAAACACCCATGGGGTGGCAACGTAAGTTTCGAGGATGAATTCCAAGCTGGCTAGAGCCCCGCAAAGCTCCAAGCTCACTGGTACCTCACAGGGTCTTCACTGACACTGCCTGTTCAGGAAGGATCGAGTGCCAACTTTAATATGGGAATTCTTTAATTACAGCAATAATTGGTATGAAAGATGAAAGGCTTCTTGCATGAATACAGAATACAGTCCTGCTGGATTCTAAGTCACAGAGTCACAGGAAGAATCCCGTCGGTCAGCTTTCACTGAATTTATTGGTGCCTGTCATTCCCTCTGGGCAAGTTCACTTTACAGGCAGCTGGCAAATAAGATACTCTCAACTGGCTGGCTTTTAGTGTTCGTTATTAACTCTTTCGACAGCAGCTATGGACCTGCAGCTAATTCAAACATGTTCTTGGTTCAAAGGAAACTTAATTATCCCAAGCCAAAGGCAGTTCTCAATCAACTGACAGGAAAGACATTAACTGCTGCCACAGCGACATTCCCAAAGCCAGGGTATAAAACGCAGGTGAATCATGGCGGAGAACCCAGAAGACAGGAGCCCGAGGCTGCGTCTTGTTACTAATCTTGAAATAAAGCTCGCTGTCCTTGCACTTGCCACTCATGCTGAGCTCATCATTGCCAGTGACCCTGAAATGCAATGAGCAGAATGGACAGCGCCTCGGGTACTCAACCATCACTGCAGGCTGCCACCAGCACACAGGGAGATGCTTCTGTCCTGGGTCCCCACTCAGGGTCAAGGCATGGAACCACGCCCCATTGAGAAGCCACCACATCTCTGAATGAATGTATTAGAAAGCTCTCATTCAGTTCCGACCTCTGGTATCTCTAGGAGCAGGGCATAGCAGTACAGGCCTGTAAGGCCAACACTAAGGAGCCTGAGGCAGGAACAGCCCTGAGACTGGCCAAGTGAGCCACCTTAAAATCTTTACACACATTTAATACACACCTGCAGTGTATCACACACGTCCTTGCCACACACAGCGCTCTGAAAAGTCAGCCTTGTCCCGTCTCCTCTCCCCCGCCCACACATGCCCACACACCTGCACACACGCCCCCCCCACACACACACTTACCCAAGACTCGTGGTACAGTACTGTGAGGAGATACAGCGCATAGTCATAGTTCTGCCTCTTCAGAGGGCATCTTTAAAGAGAAAAGAACAGTCCAAGTTTCAGCATACAGGTAATTTGTAAGACGTTCTAAAGACAACAGGCAGCGGTCTTTGAATTTTATCTGCCTTAGGAAAATTCTGTGCTGAGAATTTTCAGGATAGCTGAACTTGGAGGCACACATTTGAGGCGCATCTCTGAGTTTGAGGCCATCCTGGTCTACATAGTGAGTTCTAAGCTAGTCAAAACGACATAGTTGGGGGAGAGAGAGACAGAGAGAGAGAGAGAGAGACAGACAGACAGACAGACAGAGACAGAGCAGAGACAGAGACAGAGACAGACAGAGATAGGGAGGGAGAGGAGGGAGAGAGGAAGGGAGAGGGAAGAGAGAGAGAGAGAGAGAGAGAGAGAGAGAGAGAGAGAGACAGAGAGATAGAGACAGAGACAGACAGAGATAGGGAGGGAGAGAGAGGGAGGGAGGGGGGAAGAGAGAGAGAGAGAGAGAGAGAGAGAGAGAGAGAGAGAGAGAGAGAGAGAGAGAGAGAGAGAGAGAGAGAGAGAGAGAGAGAGAGAGAGCGCACATCATAGTTTCGAGCTACTTTAAACGTGACATGCCCAAGCCAAGTTCTCTTCACTGTCTCAGTGCTCAGAGCCAGGCAGACAGCACAAGTTTATCTAAGGAGTCCACTGAAAATGCAGGACAGACAGACCAGGCTGCAGAGACAGCTCAGATAGTAAGAGCACTGGCTGCTCATGCAGAGGTCCCGGAGTTAAGGTCCCAGCACTCACAAGGCAGTTCACAAAGCCATCTGTCATTTTAGTTCCAGATGACCCCTTCTGGCCTCCATGGACACTGCATGTATATGGTACACACAAACACATGCAGGCAAAACATTTATATACATAAAATAGAAATAAATCTTTTTTTAAGCAATTGCTGATCCTTTCGAACATGACGTGTACTGTATGTCTGTCGCTGCTATTTTAAAACTGAACTAACACACCAGTATTAAGTGCAACTTACCATGAGAACACTTTCAGGGCAACAAGATAAAAAAAGTAACAACTGCCTCCAATCTCATTAAAACATAAAATAGAAGCATGATGTGGCTCATTAAGTCTCTTAACTCTACATAGTTGTAGCATAAAACATATAACTAGATAAATGACAGATACAATCATCAACAAAGAAACAGCATTATCAGATGATGCACACACACATACACACAGAAGTACAGAGACACAGAGGTACAGACACACGCAGAAGCACATACACACACACACACACACACACACACACACGCACGCACGCACATACACAGAGGTACAGACACACAGAGACACAGACACTCGCACTCTAGAACACTAGTCCACAAGGCCCCACTCACCTGTCTGTGGTGATAGAGAGCACATCAGTGGTCTTGCAGTACCGCTCTCCTACAAGTTTAATAAGTTTCTTCTTTGCATGGTTGTCTAAATTCAAACTTGAAAGTTTAACCTTAAGAATACAAGAAGAAATATGCAAAAAATCATGTAATTGCTTAATCAAGAAGAGCAGCACTGCTATTCAAATCGACACTGGACCCACAAAAACAGAACTCCCCCAACTTCTCTGCATAAGGTCAGCAGTCAGCAAAGTGCACAGCTGACCTCACTCTTGGAAGCGGTGGCACTTGCACTGTCCCCACAGGATGGACACAAGCTTACGAGAAACATTCTCGGAATAAACCCAATCACTGTCAGTAACTGTCGGGACACCAGAAGTCTGCTCAACAGTACAGACCCAAGCACCGGCCACTCCACCTTGAGCCCAGGTTACTATTGCACCACTGCAACTGGCTGAAACCGGGACCCTAGGGCTGGAGAGGTGGCTCAGGGATTAAGAGCACTGCCTGTTCTTCCAGAGGTCCTGAGTTCAATTCCCAGCAACCACATGGTGGCTCACAACCACCTTAATGAAGTCTGTGCCCTCTCCTGGCCTGCAGGGATACATGCAGGCTGAACATTGTATACATAATAAATAAATCTTTAAAAAAAAAAAAAAAAAAAAAAAAAAAGAAAGAAAACGGCACCTTAACCTGTAAAAGCTCCTGGAGGCTGAAACATCACACCAGGGATGAACCAACAGACTGTTAGGAACTTGTCTTGCAGGCTGGCAAAGTGCTAAGTAGCATAAAACCCTGACCACCAAGCCTGGAGACCTGGGCTGGATCAGCAGACCCCACACAGTAGAAAGAGAGAACAGATTCCCACAAGTTGTCCTCTGACCACCACACCAGGGCATGCACGTGCGCGCGCGTGCACACACACACACACACACACACGAATACAATTTTTAGAAAGGATGTGGGGCCTCCTAGAAAAAAGTCCTCTTCCTCATCCCATCACCCCCTTTCACCGGAACTCGGCCACTTAGATATATATGTTCCCAGCTCAGCACTTGCTCCGCTCTTTAGATGGTGATTCTGTACCTCAATGGTGGAGTGTCTGTCTAGCACATGCACAAGATCCTGGGTAGAATCCCCAGCAATGCAAACAGACAAATGCTATTTCTATTTCTACTGGATATACTTAGGATACATTGAGTTTAATCCAGTTCTTTCTGTTTGCTGAGATAGAACCTAGGTAAATGCTGCTCATTATGTAACCCAGGGTGGCCTCAGACTTGAGACTCTCACGCATAGCCTCTTCAATGCTAGGATCACAGACAGGCCTGTGCCAGCAAGCCCATCTCTACATTGGATTTTTACAGTGTACTTCTTAGGGCATTTTGGAATTTCGATGCAGTGGTGGTATATGAATAATTCTACAGTGTACTTCGTCTTCAGTTCTATTTTCCATGGAATTAGTCTTCCTGGACACTACACTGGGAAACACTGGGCTGAATAAGAACTCTAGTTCCCAGAGAGCTGTGTCAAGGTATAACTGGAGATAGGTAAGTCTGACATAGAATATACTTCAATAAAACACTATTACCCTATTGTTTATAATAAAGTACCTAACATTGAGTATCTTTATAAAGAAACGAGGGTGCAAGGACACACCACTGGCCTGTAGGAAGGACCGAGAGCAGCTCAGGCTTAGCTCCCTGAAGAACTCATCCAGGTCTCACAAGAACTACCTTAGACTTCCCAAGAGGTACTCCATGAGTAAGAACTCCCACAGGCCCCATTCATCACTGTCCCACAGAGCACCAAGCTCCCAAAACATGTCTCCAGGGACAGGCGGGAACCATAACCACGTCACAGCAAGCATGGTTCTTTCTCTGGGAGGCATCAGGAGTAAGAAGGAACTGAAACCCACGAGGAAGAAAAAGGGATTCTAAGATTCTTCATCTCTTACTTTAATAACCCTGCACCTCTCTTAGGACATCACACACAGCAGCGTGTTCACCCTCCCATTTCTCCACCAATTACAAACCTATGAGGGCAAGAACAATGTCCATTCTGTTCTCAGCAATAGTGCAGGGAAGCATTTGGTAAATTAATAAAGTTAAAATAGAAAGGAACTGAGTAATGGTATATGCCCACCACCCCAGCAGTTAGAGAACCCCAAACTCAAGACAGCTGGGTTGCACAGTGAGACCCTGTCTCAGAAAACAGCTCACTATGAACGTCCCTCTGCAGGCAATGAGAACCAGCACTGACTTCTGGAAAAAGTACGCATTGATAAGCAGGCTATTAGCTTGATAAATAAGCAATTCATTATGTGATCACTACCTGACAACAACATGGAGAAATGTTTACATGAACACACAGCAAGCTGCACTCCTTTATAACAATGCAAATGTATGTACATATATCTATGCACAGTGACAAAATACAGTAAAACAAGGGTCCTTTACATTAGTGTCTATGACGATCTACCCTAACAGGGTATATTAGGTATACCCTAATGAGGACATAATTTTTCTTTTTAAACATCTTTTTAAATGGGAACATTAAACAACAACATTTTAAATTCCAATTTTTATGCCAATGTTAAAAAAGTGGCAGCGATGTTGATTATTACTGCATTCACTGTCTTAAAAGTCATATTCACATTAATAGTTTATATAAGAAGATTTTAGCCAGACACTGAAGCTCCTCAGAAGTGGCCGTGGCACACTCACGCCACCTGCCAGCCCGTGAGGGTACTGCAGACTCCTCATCTCACAGCCTCTCTTCCCAAACACACTTTACAAGCTGCCGTTTCCAGTCTTGTGCTACCAACACAATCCCCAGCGATGCTGCACTTCAAACACAGGAGGCTGCAGAGGGACGAGGTGGCCTCAACGTCCACATACTAACACAAGGACCGCACCACACTGAGGGATGTCCAAGTACATAAGACGCCTCCCACGTAGACCAAACACCTGTGACAGAACTGTGACACCACACATTAAGAACTGAGTTAGGCTTCTAGGTCTGCCATGTGCTCTGTAAGTTCAAGTTACTTTATCTTCCAGAGAGACTGTTTTCTCACAACAACTTAATTCACAGGATTTTTGCAGAAATGTATAAGATTAACAGATTATTTATATATTTATTATGAATACAACATCCTGCCTCCATGTATGTCTGCATGCCAGGAGAGGGCACCAGATCTCATTACAGATGGTTGTGAGCCACCATGTGGTTGCTGGAAATTGAACTCAGGACCCCTGGAAGAGCAGTCAGTGCTCTTAACCTCTGAGCCATCTCTCCAGCCCCAACAGAGAGCACTTTTAAAAGTAAAGTCTTTACAAAGAGTCTCTAATTCTAAACAACTTCTTGACAATTAAGCAGAACACAATACCTATTTCATTCTGTAGATTTGTAACATGGAGGCCGAAGGAGTGGCTGTGCAAGTGTAAAGTCTTACGTTCCGATCCCCAGAGCCACCGGTGTTCAGCGGACTGCCTGTAACTCCAGGGGAGCCCCAGTGACCATCAATGTTCAGTGGACTGCCTGTAACTCCAGGGGAACCCCGAGCAGGCTGGCTAGCTAGACTAGCTAAATTGACAAGCTCTGGGTTCAAATGAGAGGTCCTACCTTAATTAATAAGGTGGAGATTAATCCAAGATAATTCCTAACTCGAGCATAGAATTCCCACACATACTTACACAGGCATGCACTCAGCACTCACACATACACACGAGCCCTCAAACACACGAGCAAGCATACACACATGCATACCTACCACACACACATACATAGAAACAAGCATGCTTGCACACACACACACACACACACACACACACACTGCTGTGGTTTGAGTGAAATGTCCTATGGACACACACACACACACGCACACACACACACACTGCTGTGGTTTGAATGAAATGTCCTATGGACACACACACACACACACTGCTGTGGTTTGAGTGAAATGCCCTATGGACACACACACACACACACACACACGCACACACACACACTGCTGTGGTTTGAGTGAAATGCCCTATGGACACACACACACACACACACACACACACACACTGCTGTGGTTTGAATGAAATGTCCTATGGACTCATGTGTTTGAATGCTCTGCCCCCAGGTGGCCATGCTGTACTGACATCTTGGAACCTTTGGGAAACAGGGTCTGGCTGGAGGAATCAGGGAGCTGGGAGGATTCATGCTATGGCCTGGCTCCACTTCCAGGCCAAGCTCTCTGCCTGCAGATCCAGAGATATTCGCCAGCCGCCCCTACGCTCCTGCCATCTTGGACAGGGGCTTTCCTGTTGCCAAGCTTTCCCCACAAGTAACAGCTAGCAAGATAAATCTGCCCTAAACTGCTTCTGTCAGGGACTTTGTCTCACAATAAGAAAGTCACGAATGCAACTATATTACAGAATTTGTTTTCCTTCACCTTCACCATACTGCTTTAGTTTAATCCCCAGACTTCACGTAAAGGTGGAAGGAGAGAACCAACCCCACAGAGCAAAACTAATGATTGTTTAATAATTGTCAGCCATGTTTATGCCTATGAAAGACAATGATCAGATTACAAAGCACACACGATACCGTCCCATTGAACACACTAGGTTGCATGAGCAGTATAGCACGCATTTGTTTAGTAATTACATACAAAATGCATTTACAGTACATCTAGGGACAGTCGCGGTGTTTAGATGTTCTTACCCTTAATGTTACCACTCGTGCTTTGGGGTTGCGAACAGACGGTCCTGATGACACATAATCTGCTGTATCAATCTCAATTGGAAAATGCTTCTCACATTTCTCATCACTGTCTAGTGCAGCCGGCCACTCAGTGCAGAAATCTGAGAAGATAAAAAGTCACCTCATTTATAGCTTGCTAAGGGAGCCCCACTGTAACACGGGTTAGCAAGCAGGAGAGTCACTGCATCCTCTGGGTTCACACCCGTGCAAGCACAGGCTCTCCTGTGCATGGGACGTGCAAGCTGCCATCCCTCACCCCTTCCTCTGTGGTCCCTCCTAGCCCAGTCCCCAGCACTGAAAGTGAGGACCCTGTCTTGATATGTGCCAGACTCTCCTGGCTGCCACTGTTTGACTCCTCTCTCCCAATAAGAGGCAGACGGCTCAGTGCCCAGAGTCTATCTACTGCTTGTGAACAGCAAGAAGCAATGTTAACTCATTCCCAAATCAACATCACCAAAAAGATCAACTAAAAGGAGCTGAAATCCCTGAAGGAGCTAAGTCCTGTCAACATTGTTCCAGAAACTGACTTACGCCATCACAAGAGGGTCCTAACATTAACTCCTGCTTTTCCATGTGACCCAATGAGCCAGCAGGTAAAATGGAAAACACTAACAGCTTGTCCTCATCTCCAGGCAAGACCCCCCTAGACAGAAGGTAGGTCTGGGCCTGAGACCTAGACCACAGTAGTTTTCCAAGCCCTTGTGGACAGGGCTCTCATTCCCTGAGCAGAGGTATAAACACAGTTCCCAGTTTGTTCACAGGGAGTAGCTGACAGCTTCCCACAGCTATTAGTATCAGATTCCACATTGCCCTGCTCCTGTCAAGTCTGTCTGGAGACGGCTTTTAGCTGAGGATGAAGATTTCTCACACTGGGGGCTCTTCTCAGTCTGTGAACTGAAAGTAATCGGCTCCTTGGGTTATAAACAATAGACCTCAGAGACCCAGGCTTCCTCCTGTAACGTGCACTGTGAGAGAAGTTGGTCATCACTGCGGACAGATAACCTGGGGGACATTGAGGCCCTTCTCCTGCAACATTTCCCCAAGCTAACACTTTCCCAACTGTAGCACTGTATCCTCCTTTACATTTGGGGGGCAGCATCAGTAAAATGTCAGTCTGAGTTACAAAGATTCTCTCACATAGGTGGCTTGTGCTGAGGTCATGAATTCAAGGCTACCCTGGGCTACACAGGGAGTGCCTGCCAGACTGAGCTAACCTGAGAGACCCTATCTCAAACAAAACCCTCACGAGACAACAACAAATGCCTGAAGCCTGTATCTGAGGGAAGGCAGGCTTCACTGCAGTGGAGACTGTCCTGATGTGAAGAAAGAAAAGACAGCAGGGCAAGGCTGAACACCACACCCAGCGGGGACGCACACCGCATCCTGCACCACGCCGCAGGCCACCAACCACTCCTAAGAGACTAGTCTGCACAGCCATGGACTTTTGGTTTTACACAGAGTGTTTTTTCTTTTAAACTGCAAATAAGTCATTTCAATCACCAGATGGCAATTATAGTTTTTACACTAAATTACCTAAGATATGTGTCCAAAAAACGCAACCAAGTGGAAAGCACATAATAGACCCATTAGCGTCTCATCTGATAGGTGCTGCAGTGGGCCGACTTTGAAAAGCCTTGGCTTTTATTTAACTTCTCCACTGATTATTCAAACCTTGGTAAATTACTGACTTTCCTGTATTTCACATTTTCCACTTGGAAGTTAGATATAGAATCTGAAGTGACCTACTTTGAAAGGAAACTGAGAAGCAATGTTGAAAACCTTGAGTCTTTTGGAAGATGCAATCTCAAGCCAGAGATGGCAGAAGTGTAATTAAGGAAATATGAAAATGCTCATTACGCTCTGTAGGAAACAGTGCTGCCATCCTGGATTAGCTGTACAGAAGCCTTCATTTCAATTTAGGACTCAGAGAGCAGTTGCTAGAATACAAGCACATTTAAACAATGCTTAGAAAAAAAAACGGGGTCAGCAAGACAGCCCAGTAAGTAAGAAGCTCGCTCCCACGACTGACTACTTGAGCTTGATCCCAGGGACCACAAGGTGGAGGGAGAAAACTGATTCCCAAGCGCTGTCCCTGACCTCCACATGCACACCATGGGCAAGCACACACCCTAACACATGCATACATGCACACACAGAATTTTTAAAGAATGCAATTTTAAAGCTACTTTTTTTTAAATTAAAAAGGTGAAAATATAATTTTTCATGGCATGTAGGAATGCATTTGTTAACTAGCTTTTACAAGATAAAAAAAAACAGAATTCAATCTGTGTCAAGTGGGACATCAATTTGGAACCGTTGTCATTTTTAGAAACGTTGTAGGTTTTGTTCTTTTCCTAAAAGTCAGAACAAGTACTCTCACTCCAGAGCGCTTCTGATAGGATAATCAGGGAACACTAGGATGCCATCCAAAGGAACTAACTCTTCAACTACAGAATACCCAACAGCTTCGGACCAGGAAAGAACTCAAAGGTGCTTATCCCATATGTAAGCACAGGTGTGTGCACACACTCGTAAACACACACTCACACACCCACGCACACACTCAGAAGCACGCGCACGCACACAGGACTACATGAAAACGCTTGCCTTCATGTCACTGCTGCTGTTGGGAGTGGCATTCCTCTGCAGGCTCACTGTGGGTTGGTGGCACTGCTTTGGGAGTCTGTTGAACCTCTAGGAGGTAGGGCCAAGCTGGAGGAAACTGTTGTGGGGTTATCGCTCTATGTCCTGATCTGCCAAGACAGTAAGTCACTTTACACTCCAGCTGTGTCAGCCAGGAGCCCATAGCCACGCCTTCCCCATCACCATCATGACAGATTAGAACTCCCCAAACTGTGAACCCAAACAAATCCTCCTGTAAGCTGATTCAGTCGGGCACTCTGTCACAGTGACAAGAAAAGTACAGTGATCTGTGTGGGAAGGAGGCCCCAATGGAGGTGGAGGACATATACGCTATGTCTATGCCCAGGGAGCAACAAGGCAGCTCCAAGTCAGCAGATCTGGAACTAGAGTGGGGCTGTGTTCCTGCAGCTGCTTCTGTTACTTACTCATGCGCATGCGTACAAAGCACACTGCAAGGCAAACAGACTCTGTCCTCTGGGAGCAGTTACACGAACCAAGTCATGACTAGAAGATGTTTCTAGGATGAGAGGCAGGGATGAAACAGCAAGAGGCTCCTACTATTTGATTAAACACATACATGCATCACTTTGAAGTTGTTAATGTTTTTAAACATTCAACCAGGTCAAATCTGTAATGGTAGCACTCTGGAGGCAGAGGCAGGAAGATCACTGCAAGGTAGAGGCCAGTTTGTTCTACAGACCAAGTTTCGGATTCACATGGGCTACACAGCAAGACCCTGACTCAAACAAGCAAACTCTGCTGTGTGATGTCCCAAGGCTGTTCAGATACTCAGCATCATCCTGCACCGAGTCTGAGTCTTGCTCATTTGAACCCATTGCTAGAGCTGCAGTGCTCTCTCCAGTCTACACAGTTTCTTTCTACAACTCAGCGGCAAGGGCTGAACCCACCTACAAGCGAGAATCACGGCAGGCGAGTGCCTGCTCAGAGCTGTCGCCAGGGTGGCCTGGAGACCTCCAGAGCAGTACAAACAACTGCCACTGCCTGTTGCTATGCAGCAGAACTTGACAGTGAGACCCTACTGCCGAAGACAATGTGGTCACAGGACACGACGAAATCAGGCTGGCGCTGACCAGGAGGCTTCCTCCCCACTGGCTACTTGATCAAATCCCCAGGCTGCTACGCCGGGGGCAAAAGAATCATCATCAGTCTCACACAGCTAGGAACCACAAGCTACAATAACACATGATGTGGCGAGAGAGGCCCATGTGTGCAAGTGGCACAGGTATTATGCAGGTAGCCAAGCGCTTTTTGATCGAATCTAAGCCCTCTCCACAGGAGGAAACACACGCCCAGTACTGTGAACCTGGTCAAGAACCCACAAGTAGGGAGCATAAGGGCCCCGGGGGTGGCCATACAGTTATTTGGCTAACTGACACAGTATGAAAGTACTCTCTAAACACACCTCTAAGCCCACAGATTAGGGCAGCTCTAGGACCACATCACAGCAGGGGACAGTGGTTAACTCAACAACAACCAGGACACCTATATCACCCACCTCAAGGCTGGGAACCATCACAGAGAGGATGGAAAAACCGGAAGCTGTGCTCATGAACTCTCAGTAGCCATGGCTGCCCATGACTGCAGTCACAGAGTAGGAGGGGCTCACGAGTCCCCATCTTAGATGAGGAGCTACTGATGGCTGGTGTCCTTACTCCTAGCAGCTCAACACATGCCACAGTGGATGGTCCCACACCTATGAGTATATATACGGGCAGAACAAAATGGACTTAGTGGGTTATTAAAAAAAAAAAAGGTCAAAAACTTAGGAGTGGGAGGTGTATTTGGGTGGGATTAAGGTGACCATGATAAAAATACATTGTTTGCATGTACAAAAATTTCAAAAACAATGTGTTTTTTAAGTTATATACTTTCACATTTGAACTCATTTTATAGAATGAGTATGTAGGATGACCAAGAATGTGACAAATGCGTCAATTCTGTTTTTGGATAAATGTGCTGACCTGAGGGATAGTATTTTAGAAGAGGTTCACAGTGCTTCTTACAATCATTTGGCAACTTCTACAAACATATTAGTCCACTCCGGTGGCAAAGGCAGTACACCATATAAACACCAGCACCATCGAAGACAAGCAACTCTGAGCCTCACATCCTTACGACACTGGCCATCTGCTGCTGTGGCATTTGTACACGGTGTGAAGGTGCATTGCTGGGAATGGAGCAATAAGAAGCTGAGTGTCCGATAGGTAGGCAGAGGAGATAGGGAGGACTTCTGGGCAGAGACTGCTGGGAGGAAGAAAGGCAGAGCTGCCAGCCAGGCGTGGAGGAAGCCGGACGGACGGACAGTAGAGTAAAGGCAACCGAGCCACACAGAAGAATAAAGACAGGGGTTAAGCTGTAAGAGCTAGTTAGCAACAAGCTTAACCTAGGGCCGTGTTTCATAATTAGCAAGTCTCCTTGTCATTACTTGTGAGCTGTGGCCCAAAGGAAAATACACCTACAATCTGCTTCTGCGTATCTATTAAATATTCACAATGGTGTTTACCTTTAGATGTAGCCCAGTCCACCATCTGGTAATTTAAGAACAAATTATGGTTTCACTTTGTTTTTTGTTTCTTTTTGTCTTGTTTGTTAGTTTGGGTTTTTTGGATACTATTAAACCATCCAGGCCAGCTTCAAACTGACCATCCTCTTGGCCGGGTCTACTGAACTACAGTGTGCATAATCATACCTTGGTTTCAACCTCTATTTTCGACGAGGTTATAATACGCAGCAAAAATTACTTATTAAAGCTTATACACAACATCTTACAACTACTTATGAGTATTTGTTTAATGCAAGAGGCAGGAGGGCGGTGCCTTCCTGGAGCACTACCCCATAACAGGCTTTGGTAGGAAAACTATAAATTTCAGGCTAGCTTGGGATACAGAGCAATATCTGGCTACCTAGTAAAGAACAAGACGCTCTCAACCAAACAAAAAGGAAACACGAGGCTGTATCTCCACAGACGTAAGAGCCTTTGCTGTAAGTCGGTCTTCAGTTCTCAGAGAAAACCTACCTTTTAGAGCTTCACAGTGCCTTTTAATCGCCACAGGAGTCAAATGCAGGAAATTCGGGATCTAAAACAGAGACATTTTGAAAGGATAAATTACAGACAAATCTTCTCCATCCACCCCCGTTTTTGTGCGCTGGAGTCTCAATATATTTCCCAGATATTTTCAAACTGCTTCAGCCTCATTAGGAACGGGGACTACAGCTATGCATCACCATGCTAGCTATGTCATAAACGCATGAAAAGGGCCATCTTCTTATAAACCAAACCACAGGCCCAATACATGACCTAAGTAAAACCCGACAGCTCTTCTGCAGCATCAGCTCCAAGCAATCAGTCAGGAAGCAGGTTCTGTCTGGTTCAGCTCTGATCCTCCAGAATAAGGTGGCACACATTCTGACAGCAGTCGTGTTAAAAATAAACACCATTCTCACAGCATTCTTTTTTTTTTTATTTTTACGAGACAGGGTTTCTCTGTATTGTTTTGGAGGCTGTCGGTCCAGCCCAGCCTCGAACTCACAGAGATCCGTCTGCCTCTGCCTCCCGAGTGCTGGGATTAAAGGAGTGCACCACCACCGCCCGGCTCACAGCCTTCTTTATGCCATGTATCTACAGTATTCGTGTGCCATTCCATTATAAAACTGAAGGCATGCAGGGTGTGTTAGCTCACACTTGTAATCCCAGCACTCATAGACACTGGGGCAGGAAGACTGTGAAGTCAAGGTCATCCTTGGCTACATAACAAGACAGTCTCAAAAGTAAAAACAACAGTAATAATAATTGTGAAAGCATGTGTAAGGATACCAATCTGTCAATCTCCAAGAAACCTGGTACATTACTTCTGCTTTGCACACAATAAGCACTTTAAAAACTGAATGAACAAAGCCAGCAAATCTCGACTACACGGTCGACTGCATTTATTTATTAATTTTTTTCAGAAAGCCTCCTGTATCCCAGGCTCACCTGGAACTTGCTATGGACTCCTGACCCTCCTGCCCCACCACACTCAGCTGACCAGTTTAATGACGTCAGGGATACACGCATTCATGTCAACACAGGGAGGCACAAAGCCAAAATTAGGAAAGGTGAAAGAGTCGATTCCTTTCACACAAGTAACTTTTTAAAGTGAATCTAAGTGTTATTTTTTTAAGTCTTATTTATTTCTTTTTTATGTATGAGTGTTTTGCCTGCAAGTATACATGCGCTCTGTGCATGCCTGCCTCCAGCTGGAGAATTGAGGTATTGAACCCTTGGGACTGGAGTTACAGATGGCTGTGAGAGGCCATGTCCTCTGGAAGAGCAGAGCAGCCAATGCTTCTCAGTGCTGAGTCAGCTCTCCAGTCGTCCCCCCCCCGTGACTTCTGTAATGATGCCAAGCATGTAAAAGGCCTCTATCTATCTTAAAGAAACTCATTTGGAAAGAAAAATTAGAATTCAGAAAGTTGCTCTAAAAACTATGCCAAGAATCTTGAATGTTGATCAGGAAAAAGGGACCCCACGTGGTAGCAGGCAGATAAGAAATATGGGTTAATGAAGTGAAAGAGCCAGCTAGTAATGAGCCTAAGCTATCGGCTGAGCATTTGTGATTAACAATGAGTCTCTGTGGGGTTACTGGGGTGAGCTGGCAGGACAGAAATGTCGCCTACACCCCCAGGAGCTGTCCGAGCCCCGGTCCAGCACGTACTTACCTTTAAGAGCTCTAGGTTCCCCTCCTTTGCCATGGGCACGCCCTTCTTTACTGGATACCCCATTCGAACAGGCAGAGGGACAGCAGAGGGTTTAAATGGCGCCGCAACAGGGTAGACACTGGGCCAGTCCTGGTCAACGTCCATCTTCTCCGTCCTAGGAGGCAGTGCCTAAGAAACATGAAATACTTTAATCTTCAAATACAGACACAGTCTTTAATTTTAAGACAAAAGCTATAACTGAGATACACAAAGCTGATCTATCCTACACAAAATCTGATTTCCAGGGCTGTGAGGAACCGAGAAAGGGGCTTCCTGTGCACACCTGGCAACCTGAACCTGCCCGAGAATCCACAGGGCGAGAACTGAGTCCGCAGAGCTGTCCTCTGGCCGCTGCACTCCATCCGTGGCACATTCGCCGCACTACACACACGGTGACCAGTAAGAGACTGATTTCCAACAAATTTGTTGCTTAAGTAAAAAACACTACCTCAGCATGAATATCTCTGTCCGGTTGCTTCAAACTACGACAAGCTCTCCTTTAATGTCGCATCTCCTTCACAAGCACTAACGATTTGTTTATGAGGTTCATGAAATGTTTATGAAGTTTATAAAAACCTCAATGATGCAAGTTCACACTTAAAATGTTGAGACCTGGAGACAGGCCTGGGGACGTGGCTCAGTTGGTAGAACGGTGCTTAGCTTGCACAAAGCCCTGGACTGGACCCCAGCGAGGTCCCATGGTGGTACAGACGCGTGACACCAGCACCTGGGAAGTGCTAGCCCAGGGGCTGGAGAGACGGTTCAGCAGATAAGAGCCCTCGATGAGTTTGCAGAAGACCCAGGTTCAGATCCCAGCACCCACAAGGTGGGCTCATAACTGTGTGTAACTCCAGCTCCAGACAATCTGACAGCCTCTTATGGCCTCCTTGGACACCAGGCACACACATGTAAACACACACACACACAGGCTAAACATTCACATACACAAAATAAAAATACTTAAACTTTTTCTAAAAGTTCTAGATCATACTTCTTTAAGGTCATCCTGGACTAAAGGAAGAGGAAACAGTGGGGGTGGGGTGGGAGCAGTAGGGAGGAGCCTGAGTATAGGGGAGACAAGAGGATATCAATATTGAGGGGCCAGTGAGAGGGCTCAGTGGGCAAAGGTGCTTGCCACAACGCCTGACAACCTGAGTTCAATCCCCAGGACCCACATGGTAGAGAACTGACTCTTGAAAGCTGTCCTCTGGTCTTCATACACATACACGTGTCACAACACTTATATAGATTAATCAAGGTTAAACAGATTTAAAAGTACATAATGTCTCCAAGCCCGAGATAAATGACTGAAGAGCTTAGTCAATCACATGAACACACCTGTATTTGAAAGTGTTACATACCAGGGCATGGCCTCCACACAAAGAGCAGGGTTTGGAGTTAGAGGCATGGCTCACGGGTTGAGAGACAGCATTTACTGTCTGTGCAAAGGACTCAAGTTCTGTCCCAGCACCCACATCAGGTGGCTCACAACCACCTGGAATTCCAGTCCCAGGGAGTAGATAGCCTCTTCTGGCTACACACGCACCAGACACACACGTGGTGCACATAAACTCACACACAAACACACGTGCCATAAATAAAAATAAGTATCTTTCTAAAGTGGAGGTTTAGGCTGGCAAAATTTAGACATCAGCATCAGGGTGGTACACACCCCAGAGGGAGCAATGTTTCCCTGAGAGTTACTGCTCTAGATGATGGACGGATGCTTGGGCCTCTGACTCTATGTTCATCACCCGACCCAAACTCCTAAAGATGCCCAGAGGAGAACATGGGGTGACATAAATGCTACTTCTGAAGGCCTCGTCAGACAGCCTGCATGCTAGCTTCGTACCCTTCTTCTGGGCGTGCTGAGTGAGCCTACCTCCTAAAGCTGACACACTCTTAGACTAACTACTAACAGGACTGTGGTAGCTGCCCGGAGACCCCTCGAAGCCTCCTCTGGCCGTATCCTCAGCCTTCCTTTGGGACTTCAGAAATCATTAAGAGACAAGTAAATACATTACATACGTACCTTTCTCCTTATTGGCCTTTCACTTCTGGATGCCAGGCCTAAAAGACAAAAGTTCATTCATTCATTATTTATTTATGTTTGTGTCAAGGAAGACCAAAATTTCTAACGTAGCATTTTTCAGTCCCTGGCCTGCAGCACTAACACAGCCTAAGGCATTCAGTAACATGAAAATGGAACATAACCTGTTTTCTTCAAGCTTAAAACAGAGTGGGAACAAAGAACTCCAAGGGCAATTATGATATAGAGAACTCATCGTTAAAGAAATACCGCCTCCCTTTTATACGAGAGGGTCTTACACTGCAGCCCATGCTGGTCCTTAACGTGGTGCGATCCTTCTGCCTCAGTCTCCCAAGAGCTGAGATTATAGGTGTGCAAAATCCACACTCAGCTAACAAAATACTTCCACTAATTTTAAGGTTTGTAGTGTAGTAGGTTCATGGTCTCAAATTAAAATACCTAGCTAGAGTTAAGTATTTTGAATCTTTAAAGATAACTGATTTGAAATGTCCAATGACAAAAATTGCCAATAACAAACTCATGAACACAACATTAAATCACAGGACTGTAGGAGTAGATGGACTCCTCACTTACCAAAAGTACTTTTAACATAGCTTATTTGACACATGCTTCAACGAATGCCTGCTGTGCTGTAAAGCACTACACTAAGTACTAAGTACTTTCACATGCACAGTCTATGCTAAGACTACTCACTACCACGTCATTTAGCCTTTCTTACTATGACAAATGCAAGTATTATTACTGTCCTGTGTACAGGCCACTTATACTCAAAGGACCGAGGTCACTGAAGCACAGCGTACGGTTTTCTCGTGTTCTGGCCGGCTGTCTCCAGCCTTACCTAGAAGAGCTCCACAGCTGCAATGTGCTCCCCAGACCTTTTAGCCGTTCTCTCAACTCCCTTCTCGGCTTGGCCACGCCTCCCTCATCTCTTCATCTGACGTATTTCTATCCATCCCACAGCACTCGCTCTTTCAACAATTATGTTCTACTACTTATCACAAACTAGGAGCACGGTGGTGAATACGGTACAGCTTCTGCTCTTATTGTTGTTGCTGGCCTGCAGAGTCTGGGTCCCCAGTGCTGACACCTGTGTTGCTGGCCTGCAGATGGTCTGGGCCCTACTGTGTGACACCTGTGTTGTTACCCTGGAAATGGTCGTCATGGACGGTCTCCACCTCTGTTACCGTGAGAGCTAAGTCTCCCAGGGAACCCCTTTTCAGTGTATACGCTTATCCTAACTAGGGTTTCTACTGCTGCATCAGGACCAAGAAGCAACATATGGAGGAAGCTTATTTGGCTTACACTGCCACATCGTGGTCCATCACTGAAAGAAGTCAGGACAGGAACTCAAACAGGGCAGGGACCTGGAGGCAGGAGCTGATGCAGAGGCCATGGACAGATGTAGTTTGCTCAGTCTGCTTTCTTACAGAACCCAGGACCATCAGTCTAGGGATGGCGGCTGGGTCCTCCCCATCAATCACTAAAGAAAATGCCTTACAGCTGGATCTTATGGCGGCATTTTCACAAACTGAGACTCTCCCCTTTCAGGTGACTCTAGTTTGTGACAAGCTGATATAAAACTGCCCAGGACAATGCAGTTCTGGACACACAAACACATCACTGTTAAGCCACAACCTTTCCTTCCTAGTTCATCCCCAAGATCACACACTAACCTCATAAGCCCCAAAACATAAAACATAAAACATAAAACATAAGCCCCAAAGTCTTTACAAATTTAAACACTTTAAAATTCAGTCCTGTTGAAAAGTCGAGTTTCTTTTAAAACCTAAAATCTCTTAAAAGTCAGTCTCTCAGCTGTGGACTCCTGTAAAATCAAAAGCAAGTACTTTCCTACTTCAAAACAGAAGAACCAGGGCACAGTCACAACCCAAACTAAGCAAAACTAAATTCCAAAAGCACAAACAATTGTGTGGGATTCACTCATGATCTTCTGGGCTCCTCCAAAGGGCCTAGGTCACTTCTCTGGCTCTGCCCCTATAGCTCACAGGCTCCACTCCAGACCTGCCGCTGCTCTTGCTGGCTACTCCACGGCACCAGCATCTCCAAACCGTTAGGGTCTTCTGCTGCAAGCAGGCCGTACTCCCACCCACAGCCTCTTCTGGGCTCTCTTCATGGTGCAAAGCCTCAACCTCTCTCCACGACCCCTTCAACCCTGGGGCTTCCACGGCTTCTCCAGCTGCACCTTCATGGGCCTCTCCTGGCCTCACAGTGCCAAGCCTCGGCTGCTTTCCCTGGCCCCTACATGCCTTCAAAACCAGTACCACCTGTGCCACCTGGGGCAGCGTACATGGCCAAGGTGGGCTGCCAGAGGGAGGTACAACCTTGGCCACCTCTGGGACACAGCTTTTGTTGGGTTGACTCTGGGGAGACACTCCCCAGAAGATTTTTGCCTCAGTATCGCCAGTCTCTTCTTAATTACCGCTAATTCCTCAGCTCCAGCTGATCAGCATCAATTGTTTCAGTAAAACAAAGGTCTTAGGGGCTGGAGAGATGGCTCAGAGGTCAAGAGCACTGGCTGCTCTTCCAGAGGCCCTGAGTTCAATTCCCAGCAACCACATGGTGGTTCACAACCATCTGCAGTGAGATCTGGTGACCTCTTCTGGCCTGCAGGCATATGTGCAGAGAGAACACTGTAATAAATAAATAATTAAAAACAAAACAAAGGTTTAACTCCAGTTGTTCTGGTCTCTTGGTTGTTGTTGTTGGTGGTGGTGGTGGTGTGTATGTGTCTTTTTGAGACAGGGTTTCTCTGTGTAACAGTCCTGGCTGTCCTTGCATCCCCTCTGTAGACCAGGCTGGCCTCAAACTCACGGAGATCTGCCTGCCTCTGCCTCCCAAGTGCTGGGATTAAAGGCGTGCGCCACCAACACCCTTTCTGGTCAGCTCTGACGCCACAGATTCTTGACACAAATGGCCCAGGAGTCTTTGCTTCCCGCTGAAACTTCACAAGCCAGGGGGCTCCATCTTCTGCACGGCTCTCATCATCATCTTCAAAGCTCTGACAGAACAGCCCACAGAACTCCTGACGCTCCGCGGCTCTTTAGACCAAAGGGCCAAAGTCCTCCCACAATCCTCCCTAAAACACGGTCAAGTCTGTCACAGCAACACCCCACACCCGTCCACCCACTCCACAGGTCCCTCCTCTCTGGGGAACACTGGGTAATATGGTGGGCAGTACCACAGAGGACGCAACCTTCAAGCTAAGGCTCACGGGCCAGTGGGAGGTGAGGAAATGCCCGAATGTTTCCGTGGCCCTCACAGCAAAACTGGATCCATGCACAGAGTAGGAGTCCACATTTTTACAACGTCGTAGCATTTCATTCTTTGGGTTCTAGAACAGTAAACTTCTAAGTCGGTACGCGCCTCTCCACCAGACTATGTGACATCGGTTATACATTCTGCTCTCCTTGCTGAGAACGTGTGGCTTTGTTGCACGTTTTTGTTTTTGCTTTTTCCTGTGCAGAAAAACTCCAAAGTCAGGTCAAGGGAGGAATCATTCCCACACTGCCAGCGGGCGATGGGAGGATATGCCAGGAACTCCGGATACTTGGTCCCTGAGCTCTGAGTGGTGTGCACAGCCCACGGTCCCCGCAGTGGACTGCGTGTGGGCGCTCGGGAGTGCGCCTGCTTGAACTCACAGAGGAGTTCGTTTTCAGTGACGGGGCTACGGGGACTCCAAGATATTCCGAAGAGGACACCCCTTGGTCAGACGATAAAGAGCATCTAAGACAGCGGGAACTTTGTAGCCGTCACCCCTGGCCCCTGCTCTGACGGAAGTGGGGGAGCTCCATGCCCCTTTTCTGGCGCTATTCCTACTTGGACGGAATCCACAGCGGCACAGATGAGGCGTGCACGCGGAGGGAGCCCGGGAAGGGACCCGGGTGGCTGCAGGCGTCCGCCCCGGAGGAGCCCCCCCGAGTTGCCCACGCGTGCGCGCGAAGGTCCTGCCGCTGACTTCACTCCGGCCTCCCCCGCCGCAGCGCTGCCCCCCCCACCCCCGCTCCCGCCAGCACGCGGCTCGCACCGGGCCCCGGCGCCTGCCCGCAGCACGAGGCTCACCCGGCCCGGGACCCAGGCCGGCCGCGGCGGACGCTCGCCCGCGGTGACCCAGGGACTGCGGGGCGCCCTCTCCCCGCTCCCACACACACACCCGCCGCGGCGCACCCACACTCACGCGGGCCGCCCCTCGAGGCCGCGGGCCTGACGGCCGAGGCGAAGCCGCGCAGGCCGCGCGACCCCGCGCACAGGATCCGCCCCAGCTGCAGCGCCGCGACCGCCATGGCAGCAGGAAGGCCAGCCCGGAGCGGAAGCGCGCCCGCCGGGAGGGGGCGGGGCCGGAAGGGCGCGAGCGTGGGAACGGAGGTGCGCCGGCCGAAGGAGGGCGGGGCTACGGCTCGCACCGGGGCTGGTTGCGGGGTTGATGGGGGAGGATCTCCGACCCCGGGGTCTCGCAGTCTCCGCCCGCTGCTCGAATTTTGTCTTGTTTTAAAGACAGTGGCTGCTCCAAGACATTTTCCTCCTTTCCTTTTATTTATGTGTTTGATGCATCTTGGCGTGGGTCTGCGTAGCTCAGCGCCGTGGGCCTGTATTGCCCTCAGCGGCCAGCAGGGGGGGCATGGAATCGGGGCGGGTGTGAGCTTTTATTGTGGGTGCTGGAAACTGAACCCGGTCCCCGGAAGAGCAGCCTCTGCTTAACGGATGGGACGGCTATCCAGCCCCGTTTTTTCTTTCTTCCCCTTCCTTCCTTCCTCCTTTCAATCATGCTGCCCCTGTATTCCCAAGTGCTGGGATTATTGGTATGGGGCATAACACCTAGCTTTACACCTTTACACTTTATATTTTTAAATGACATTGTTAACAGTGTCTATGTGTCTGTGTGTGCATGTGTGTGTGCGTGTGTGTGTGTGCATGCGTGTGTGTGTGTGTGTGTGTGTGTGTGTGTGTGTGTAGACCCACACTAGTAAGAGAGCAGTTTAGGGGAGTTGGTGCTTTGGTTTTCTCTGCCCATCACCTGGGTTCTGGGGATTCCACTCCAGCAGTAAGGCTCACACCTTCACTTGCCTTACTGTCTCACCAGCCCTTCACTTCCGCAATGACAGCAAGTTTTCAAGCATAGTGAGTAACATGCACCTGGCCACCAGCAGGGGCGGGGCAAGGCTGCATCCCCCAGCAGTTTAAAGAAATGGCCTTCTGAACTGGATTGTTTGCATTTAAATTTTGACCCGTCTTTTCATGTGCTATTCCTGCGGAGTAGGATACCCAGCACCTATGCAGAAAGACTCACAGCCTCAAGTAACTCCAGTTTCAGGGGTCTTGCAGTGGAGTGCACACACACACACATACTCTCACAACATACACACTCACACATACACACACACTACTCACAACATACACACTCACACATATACACACACACATACTCACAACATACACACTCACACATACACACACAACATACACTCACACACATACACACTCACACATATACACACACACATACTCTCACAACATACACACTCACACATACACATTCACACACACACATATACTCTCACAACATACACTCACACACATACACACTCTCACAACAGACACACACACATGCGCGCATGCACCACAATTAAAAATAATCTTTACAAGAAGTGGCCCCTTTATAACATTGTCAGGAGGCAAAAATGTTTTACAGTGTAAAGCATGTATGAGTTTGCCATCTACAGTTTCTAAACTCTGTGAAATCTTTTTTTTACTTGGAAAGGGTTTTGGAGGTACAATCACTCATCCATAATTAAAATATTTTTTTCAGCCTTTTAAAGGAAATGTTACAAAGGCCAGGGAAAGGCCTCTGGGGCACATGATTTGCATTTAGAAGGGTCCCGTGCTTAGTTTCATGAACCCTCTCCTGCCAAGTTAAAGTTCTCATCAAATTCTAGAAGGGAGCTCCATATTTTCAGTCCGCATTGATCCCTACAGGATATATAGGTAATTCTGGGTAGAGTAATTTTAAATGCTGAGCCTTCTTCTTATGGTCTTTTACTACATTTAAAGCCTAGGTTAATATGGGAGATAACTTTTACTTAAAGTAAGTTCTGTATGAGAAGTGTGTGAACGGCTTTCTAGTACGGTGCAAGTATCCGTCCAGGCAGGAGCAGACGCGCAGCCTGTCCAGCCACCAAAACAGCACTGCTTACGCCACGAGATAGAGGAGAAAACATGGATGGTGGAGGGACTGGAGAGGTGGCCCAGCAGTTAAGAGCACTGACTGCTCTTCCAGAGGACCCAGGTTCAATTCCCAGCACCCACATGGTGGCTCACAGCCGTCTGTAATTCCAGTTACAGCACCCCTTCTGGTTTCCACAGGCACCAGCCATGCATGGGATGCATAGATGTACATGCAGGGAAATCACCCATGCGCTCAGAGGGTCTGGAGAGATGGCTCAGAGGTTAAGAGCACTGGCTGCTCCTCCAGAGGTTCTGAGTTCAATTCCCAGCAACCACATGGTGGCTCACAACCATCTATAATGAGATCTGATGCCCTCTTCTGGCCTGCAGACAGACATGCAGAGAGAATACTGTATACCTAATAAATAAATCTTTAAAAGAAAATGGGTGTATAAAACAAATGAGCAAACAAATAACCTTCAACCTTTAAAAAATGGGTTTTCACTGGGCATGTTGGCACACACTGTCAATCCCAGCACTCAGCAGAGGCAGATGGATTATCTATGTTGGAGGCTAGCCTGGTCTACATAGTGATTTCCAAGTAGCCAGTGACACAAAGTGAGTCTCAAAAGGTGTCGCACCTGGTGAGCAGCCTGTATCTGAGAATGTGGTGAGGATTGATGACACAGGGACCGGTCCATTACGTTAAGAAAACTTTATGCTCCCCAAGTTGGCTTAGGAGAACTCCCCAAGAAAAAACGCTTCCCTTCAGAAAAACTTCTGCCATCCATACACGCACAATTCTCCAACCGAGCTCTCACACACCTCTCACAGCTCTCACAGACTTCTCACCCTCCTGGCTGGTGGTTAAATCTCCAGGCACCAGAATCGGGGAGAAACAGCAGGGAGCAGGAAGAAGCAGCTAGCCATCAGGGGATCAAAGTCATGGTGTTTCAGTGAGCGAGCCCTTATCGGAGCCCTATCAGGAGCTTAAGGCACTGAATTGTTTTCAGTAAACATTGTCTTGCAGCTGCCTGCTCCCAGGCTGATGGAGGGGTGGGTTTCTGGCCAGGGTCTGTGATCCCCTCAAAAAGGAAAACAAAACACATGGGTCTCAATCTTGGTTTAAAATTACCTCAAAAGATTTTAAAAGTATATCTCGGCGTCCTCAGTCTGGGGTGGTTAATTAATCTAGGTGTCTTTTGAGCATTGTTTTTTGCTGTATCTGTATTTAATTCGTTTATATTTTTCTTTTTCTTTCTTTCTTTCTTTTTTTTTTTTTTTTTTTTTGGTTTTTTGAGACAGGATTTCTCTGTAGCTTTGGAGGCTGTCCTGGAACTCACTTTGTAGACTAGGCTGGCCTCGAACTCACAGAGATCTGCCTGCCTCTGCCTCCCGAGTGCTGGGATTAAAGGTGTGCACCACCAACGCCCAGCCTCGTTTATATTTCTAATTTAAAAAGTTTGCATGTGTGCACACATCATTCATGGGGTCAGAATTCTTTCTTTGCACCTTTTGAGTCCCAGGTATCGAACTCGAGCTGTCAGGCTCAGAAGCAAGGGCCTTTACCAGTGATCTGACTTGCCAACCCAATTTCTGTTGTTGTTGTTTTTTGGGGGGGGCACCCAGAATTTCAGAGGCAGGATGATTGCAAGTTCAAGGCCTGACTATGCTACACATTATGCACTTAGGTCATACCTCAAAAAAAGAATCCAGTACCAATTGAGTCAATCCAGTGGCCTTCATGCCTTTCCTTAACAGAATCCTCAGTAGTAGCTAAAGGCGCACTGGAAAATGCATGCATAGATTTACTGTGCCACCCGCCAGACGATAGAAAACCCCCAAGAATGGAGACTTCATTCTTCACAGGGCATAAAACAAGCCTTTGGCCAATACACAGTAAGCCATAATAAACCTACCCATTTATACTAATCCCCACCTTTTTTTTTTTTAAGGAACATTCTCACTGGGTACAAGGCAAAAGCAGCTGTCTATTCTACACTATTGGGTACTGTGTTAGCTTCTCCATGCTGTGACAAGATGCTTGAATGAAGCAACTTAAGGAAGAAGGGCTATCTCTTCAGTCTGGGGTGGGGGGGGGCACGGTGCGTCACCATAGCAACAGGATCTTGAGGCTGGCCATGAGCAGCCTCCACAGTCAGAAAGCAAGAGTCCTGGACGCTGACGCCCCAGCCCTTTCCCCTCTGTACTCAGTCCAAGGCCCCCAGCCCATGGGATGGGGCTGCTCACACTACCAGGGGTCTTCCAAACTCCCAGTCACACCCAGAGGTGCGTTTCCCTTGGCAATTCTAAACCCAGCTAAGTCAATGACTCGTGATTAACCACCATCAGAATGCCATGCCGCCAGGGAAAGGAGATGGAGGTCTCCGCCAGCAGTCTGCCTTCCTTCATGTGGAGGCGGTTCGTTCGTTCGTGTCTTCAGTGCTCGGGGACGGAGGCCTTTCGCACACAGGCAAGCGCTCCTCCACCGAGCTTTATTCTCAGCCACATCTCACGCTGTCTAATGTTAAACTGGTAAGTAACCACCTGTACTGCTACATTAAACACTGGATCTCATGCCAATTCCCAGAATGGGGCTGGCTTCTGGCTCTTCCTCACTCTAACTTCCTTGAGGAGAGGGCTTAGGCTTGAATGCATTTCAAGAATGGAAAAGAAAGGCCAAAGAGGCCGTATACTCATCTCTTTCCTGAAGTTAAGAGATGCCACAGGGATCACAAAAAAAATCCTTCCCTTGCTTCCCCCAGGACTTGTCTGAGTGACCGTGCTCCTAACAGGAAGGGGTTGGGGGCCGCCGTTTCTTAAACTTGCAAGGTGCATCCACATTTGAACTCGAGGCTCAGTGAACAGGAAACAACAGCAGGCCCTTCAGGCTTTGCCCACACCGAGATAACATTGTCTACGTTCTCTGAACATCCTATGTGCTGGGCAGGAGAGGGACTCAGCGGGCTTGGACTGGTGCTAAACACCGAAGGCTCTGGATTTCAGATAAGGAACAGCAGCAATGCAAAACGGGTGCTTCCATCTTTGTTTTTGAGAGTGTACGCGGGCTGGATATTAATTTGTGGGGGTTCTCCTGCCTTGGCCTCCAGGGTGTAGGTATGGGTCACACCCTTCCCACTCCCTTCATCCTTAACCTTTGAATGGAGAAGAGCAGGAGGCATTAGGATTGTAGAACTCAAATGGCGCGCGCGCGCGCGCGTGCACACACACACACACACACACTCAGCGAGCTGGGGGCAGGTGTGGGACAAAGCAGAGGGGATCACCAAAGCGCCCTGGAAGTGACAACAGCCTGTTGAGAAGGAGAGAGTCACAATTACACAGGCACTGCTGGAAACCCACTGCATATTTATAGCTGGATGCCTGAGTCCCAGAACAGGGTGGGGAAAAGGCTAGACTCAATGTGCAACCCAAGAAAAACCAGCTCGGGGATTGATGAAGTAGAAATGGGTGAGCACAGGTTTCAGGTTTGACCTCGACCCTCCCTCAACAACTGCGACCAGTGAGTGGTCCTGGCGCAGACTCCATGGCCTTCGACAAGCCGTCCTAAATGAGGAGACAAGCTGCAGTGGCACAGATCATCACATCAAAGGCCAACATTAGATGGCCTCCTGCTCCACCTTGCTCATGGTGATGTCGTCCAGCCTCGCAGGAGCCCCAGATTTCCAAACACAGTCAAGCCCAAGGCCATGGGAAGCCCTGCCAGAATGAAAGAGTGTTCTTGGAGGGTGGCTGCGGAGAGATTTGGTCCATGCTGTTTGGGCACGGGTTTCGCTCGCTGCACAGCCCCTGCTGACCTGGAACTCACTGTGTAACCCAGGTTGGACCTCACCCTCAGAGCCATCCTACCTCAGCCTCCCCAGTGCTGGGTGGGGGATACCGTCGGTACCACCACACCATTTAAGACCATGCTTCCCCACACTAGGGCCCAGGCTGAGAAGGGCAGCCGCAGAGTATGAGCGGGAGTGAGGAAGGACAGACAACCACCAGCTTCCCTGCAGGGGGACACCTTTGTGATCACAGCGCTTGTGGCTGCCCAAGAGTCGATTTTACTTTATGTATTGCTGGAAGAGTTGGAGCCTGAAGCGGAGACTGACTTTTTGTTAACAGCTCATGACTTGGGAACCACACACGCCCTTGATTTGACAAATAGAAACAAACACCTACTTATTATTATTAGAGCCCTATGTGCAAGTTATGATAATACACTCAAATCACTGAGCCCAACACGAGTTCAATAAATAACGGCCGTCACTCTTCGCATTGTTAAGCCCAGGAAGACTTTTAAGCAGAAATGATTACTCTGACTTAGTAAATCAGGGGTAAAGTTAACACTCAGTTAGATCCTAAGTTAAATCCTTTGAATGGGCGGGGGGGTGGCTCCAAGTTTGAGAGCACTGGCTGCTCTTTCCAGAGGTCCTGAGTTCAATTCCCAGGAACCACATGATGAGATCTAGTGTCCAAGTACACACGCAGACAGAACATTGAACACATAATAAACACATATTTTTAAAAATCCTTTGAAAGTCCCTCATGTGCAGACTTTCCAGGAGCATGAGTGGAGATGAGGCTCAGAGGACCCTCCGTGGGGAGACTGGCATCCCAAATGCCTTTACACCTGCTGCTCCCTCAACAACAGCAGTAAGGTCGTGTGCTTGTGACCATGAGACCAGTCAAAGACAGCTTTTGTTTTGCAAATCAAAATTTTATGCACACCTTTATCATTTCCTTCCCCAGTTTCTATTCTTAAGTAAACAAAGACAAATTAAGTTTGCCCAACACACAGACACAGCTAGAGGTTAAGTTCTATTTTGCCCCCCCTCCATAATTGCCACACTAGCAAGTTTTTATCCAGGCAATCACTTTTCAGTGGATGCTGGGGATTATCCCCTCTGCTGATTTCTTTTTTTCTATTGGATCTCACAGACCAGCCACAGCAACGCACCCCGTTTAGAGAATGCTAATATAAACCTTGCTCATGTCACTCAGTCCGTCTCTTTTACTCAGACAGTTTCCCAGCAGCTCCTTGATGGAGACACAGCCTTCCGTCTGCAGCAAAAACTGCTCCACAGCCTTGTGTCCCCGCAGACGGCTCTCCGCCATCCCACTCCTGAGGCTCTCCAGGACAACTCCTCTGATGGCTTTCGGCTTTCCAGGCACGCTGAAGACGATAAAAAGGCCCAAACAGTCCTCTCCCACCAAGCTACAGAACTCTTCCAGCTTATCAAACCTGCCTTTTGGGCAAGACTCCTCTGCCCTTGACTCACAGGGCTTTGGGTCCCTCACGGGAAGAGGAGAAGCCATCCTCAGGGTCTGCACGGCCACCTGAAGCCGTATTTGCTTATCGGGTCCCCAGAAGGTCCAAATCCAGTCTGCTCCAAACAGCAAGGCCTGGTGCTTGGTCATCTTGGTGGTGGTGAGCCACTCATCTGCCCCCCTTTCCTGGCAGAAAGTGATGAAGTGGACGAGAAAGACCTCGCTCAGCGTGCCGGGCGCCAGGCAGAGTCTGCTCAGCGGGTACTCAAACCCCAGGTACTCCTTTAGCTTCTGCGCCGCGTGGGCGACGGCTGCGCTGACCACCTCACACATGGCGAGGACCTCCTGGCTGTCCTTGGGAGCCACCTGCTGGGAGGCCTTTTGCCCCATTTCCCGGCTGCCCCCGAGTCGAGGCTCCTCTTAGCTATCCGACACGCGAATGCCACCGGAATGGCTTCTCTTTCAGAGAGGACTTCCTTCATCGAAGCCAAGTCTGTTAAGACTGCCACCAGCTTCCTAACGCGGCAGCTTCTTTGATGTGGCTAGCCATATAGACCTGAGGCTGGGCAAACATGCGAGGGAGGGCTTCCTGTTTGCCGACTGGGTGTGTTGTGCTCACACAGGTAACTGCTGCCTGCCAAGTGACAGGTGACAATTTCACACAAAACACCTGTTCCCTAGGGCATGTACAGGTGACTTCTGATTTTTGGGAAACTCTGCCTAGATGTGGTTCCTTTTCAAAACAAACAAACCAAAAACTAAAACAACAACAAACCTGACAATTGAAAACCAGTATGTGAGCATACAGGTTAGAGTCATATATACCCTTTTCTCCATCTCTAAGTTTGCAAGTCACGTCTGTCTTGACCCTTGGTTCCCCAAGTATTTCTTTTTATATACTTCTTAGAGATCTCAATTTGTCTGTGATTCATGCTGTGAACCCAACTCACACAAACACACGCAAGTTTACAAAGAAGCCTGTTCTTCTGCCAGAAACCAAGACGTTGTTACTCTGAACAAAGGAACATTAAGTAATGACAGTTAAAAACACAAGGCAGTTTATCAATTGACTTTATTTTCTTTCATACGGTAATGCCAACAGTGCATACATAATAGTTTTGTAAATAAAATATATAATCAAAAGCTTTTTTAACTTTATCACATATCATCAGTTGTTACATTGTCCTTAATAAAGAATATTTGGCATCGGTAACAGTCAGCTGGTATTTTCAACTGGGCTCAACTAACAAACTGAGCTTTTCAAATGGTGATATTTACTCACCGTTTAAACTAAAACCCCCATAGAGGAAGAAGCCAATATAGACGTCAAATCATGAACAGGAACATCCAAAGGATATCGCGTGAGCATCAGATAATTGTAGTTAGACATAAAGAGTAGTGTTACAAGTGTCACAATGAGCAGCTCCATAACCTGCTGGGCTTACAACAGGAATACTGCTGACATCTAGAAACGGTTATCACCAAATCTATTACCATACACTGGGCTGCCCACCTGCACCCCAGGGTGTGAGTTCCTGTCTATACACAGTTGGCCTCGTTATGTGTAACCTCTAATGAAAACCAGATTGTCTCCAACACCGCTAAAACACACACACAGACACATGCCACAGGAACAGCTGCGCTGGGCTTTCTATCCCCTTTCCTACGAGCTTGTGGGCCTTGTGTTACAGAAAACACGAGCAATGTTATTGGACAGGAAAAACCATTAAAGTACAGCCTGCAGCGTCCGAGTGTTTGGATCCTGACTGAAACAACACGAAGCCCCCTCAGTTGCCAAAGTGTGAGGGACATGGCGAGGTGGACTCCTTAGTCCTGTGTAACGGCGCATATAGCAAAGAAGAAAATGGGAAACTTAACATGTAAAAAGGTCCTGTTTTGGTTTGGTTTTTTCCAAAGTCATCCTAATAAAACCTTTTCTGAGGGGACTGAGTGCATCCAAAGCTGGAGGCCAGGGTAAAACCGGAGCCTCTAAACACCGCTCCGGGATCTTCTGGGAGTCAAAGAAATGCACATCATGTAGAATTTAACCTGGATGATTAATACTGTTAAAATTCATCAGTGGAGGAAGAGAGGGGGCTCTGATCTCCTCAGGGATCAGCTGCTATATAAAAACTCAGAACACTGGGGCTTCTTTGTCTTTAATACGATCTTCTGACCCTTGTGTCACAAAATAAAAGTTCTGTTTTCTATATACTGCATATATACACATACTTAGAAAAATATATAAAAATAAGACAGTCAGAGAGGCAAGTGGAGGTGCGGCTGGCATTCTGCGGCACCGGATGCGGTGAGCCCTGGGGTCTGAAGAGCAGCACGTTCTGCTTAGACGCTGCAGTGAGCACGGAGAGGGTCAGACCCTCCTCCACGCTGGGGGTGTGGATGAAGAAGCACTCCGGTGAACACCCAGCCCGAAACGCAGCACTTTAAATAGAGTACGTCACAGACTTGACATCACACAGAGGCAGGGTGGGCACACTTCCGTTCGCCAGTGTCTTGTTTCTCTCAGCATCTCCAGAACGGGCACCGCTCCCCTGCATTGCGCACAGCTCCGCTTCCCAGGGAGCAGAAGTCGGAACCATAAGCAATGCACTACCCGTCACCTGTCGCATGTGCTACTCGAAAACCAAAGTTGGAAAACGACATCGGTGCTCCTGGTACTTGCCCAGGTGCTCTGGTCAAACGTTGGAGTCTTCATCTGTGATGCTGGCACTGGGGGAGCGGGCAGCAAAATCTTTGAACATGTCGTCTTCCTTTAACATGTGCTGGAAGACAAGGGGGCAGCAAGTTACGCACTGAGTCCTGAGCGCGGCACCACACACCTGCCAGCATGCAAGTGGGAGTTTGTGGCTTTGCACACGTTTAGAATAACATTTCCAAAGCACACTTACTGTGAGATTGTTGATGCCTTCGGAAAATGCACCTATCTGTCTCACGGTCCCTTCTGAATCTTCCATCTGCCAAGAACAGGCCACAATGTGACAAACTCATTTGCGCAATTTCAGGCACGCAAAGACAGTGTGCGTGGCTTCCATGGAGTGCCTGTGAGCACACGGCACAGGGCTTACCTGCTCTAGCCGATCCAAGTCATCCTCTTCATACAGACGCATGTCCAAGCCAGGTCTGAACCCCTTCTGGGAGCTGCTCCCTGACACCTGCCCCAGTTCCATTGGACAGACATATTCCTCTCCGTCCTCATGCTTCTTCCTCCTCAGGTTCCCAAAGTTGCTAAAGGTCAGTTTCTTTGGCTTTAAAAGAAAACAAAAAGACACCCAGAAATTTGCTAAAACTCCTATGACAAAGGACTAACAACATGTCACTTCATCACACAAAGGAAGCAGCTTGGATGAGCAACTTCCACAAGAAAACCAGAAGTACCCTGGACGCATTCAAAAATGGCCTTGGTGTAACTCTCACTGTTATGCCACAGGCTGGACATGTCAAAATCTTTTGTTTGCATCAGGCAGGACTTAACACAATAGATCACCTCTCCGGGATGACTCAAGTTTTGCAAGGCTATTCGATCTAAGCTCAGTAAAAGAGAGCCCTAACTGGTCTAGTGGCACAGGCCTGCTGGCGGCAGCAGCTACTTGGAAGCGGAGGCAGGAGAATCACAGGCTTAAGGCTGACTCAAAACAAAACCAAATTTAAAGGAGGTAGGGTGGCCTGGGGTGTGTAGGCCAATGGTAGAGCACTTGCTAATATGATGAAGACCCTAGGTTCAATCCCAGATTGGATGGAGAAGGGGGGGGGGAGGGACAGCAGACAGCAAAGCTGTGATGACTCTGCCTACTCTGCTTTGTAATGAGACTGGCGTGTGGGAAAAGGATTCACCCTCTTGGAGAGAAACTTCATCTTGGTCCCTACACAGTCCTCAGGGAGAAAGGAATTCAAAGGCAGACAGGGTAAAACCAAGAGAGCTTGCCATATGTTTCTGGGAGAACTCTTAAGTTGTTCTCACATGAAGGATCTGGAAGCCACACATACAGACCAATTAACGTAGGGATAACTCAAAAGAAAGAGTGATCTCTTACAGCCCTCAAGCCCTGGTAAATAAAAACCACCCCTAGGGTCTTTACGTGTAGCTCAGATCGACCCTGAATTCTAAATCCTCCTGCCTCGACCTCTTGCATGCTGGGATTACAGGCAGGTATAACAACCCCGGCTCCGCCTCTCTCCTTAAGGAGAGCTTTCTGACTTATAGACAAGGCAAGCTGAAGATGTGCAAGAGAAAACCTCCCTGTTGGCTCATGCACTCATCTGCAGCACTGGAGATCAATCAAGCTCAGGCCTCCGGCCCGCCAGGCATATATGCTCACCATTCGGTTAGCCCACCCCAAGTCCTTCTCTTATGCCTCTTTCCCAACAGGAAAGCAAAACCACTGCCATGGCAAAACAGGCCCAGGCCACAGTCTGCAGGGTTGACAAGACACTGACAACAGAAGCTAGCATCAGCTGTAACTCTGATAATAAGAATGATGTCAGCAGAGACTTTCAAACTTTTGGTCCCTTAACTGCTCTTGAAATTTGTAAACACACGTGCGTACGGGTTTCTTAGCTCATTAACAGAATCGAGCAAAATCTCGGAAAACGGGACGATGGGGCTTTGGCAAACACCGCGCAATGATAAGCGGAACCAACCTTCACTTTGGCAGTAGCTGTCAGCAGTACATAATCTGGTAACTCCATGGCATCTCGCTTCTGGTGCTGTGCCTCAGCACCGATCAGCAGGTTGAAATGGGTGGCCAAATGTCTGCGCAGCAAGGTCTTGTTTGGTGGAATGTTCAGCAACTGAGCCATAGTCTCCACGTTAAAGCGAGGCTCAAGAACCTGTAAGAAAAACGGGGATTGGTAAATGGTGCCATAGGTCACACTCAGTTGCAGCGGAAGTACTTAACAGTCTACAAAAATCTTTCATTTGGGTAATGCCCAGCAGCCCTATGGACAGCTGAGGGCGTGGACTTTGATTTTTTTTTTTAGATTTATGTATTTTCTTAATGCGCAAAAGCATTCCCTACATATATGAATGTATACCACATGTGTACGGTGCCCACAGAGGCCAGATCCTCTGAAACAGGGGTTACATGGTCATTGGCCATCATGTGGGTGCTGGGAACTGAACCCAGGTCCTCTGCAACAGCAGCCAGTGCTCTGAGCTGCCTCCCCAGTCTGGACTCATTATCGTGCCTGAGTTAGGGGATTAGCTGTCTGTTTAACCCAGGCTTCAGGGGAAGCAGCAGCCGTAGGTCTTCCTGTCTGGAATGCCGCTGGCTCTGAAAGCAACCTCTCATGGGACACTGATACGCAGAAATACAGCCTGTATCTGTATAGGCATTTAAAACCGTGAACAATATCAATGAGAGATGGATGCTGGGTGATAGTCCATACTGCAGGGCGATGAAAAGAAATGGGCTTAGACCTAATTTAGAGAAAGACACTAAAGATGCCCTGCAAGAGAAATCTAGTGTGGGATCAAGTTAGGATTACTGGGGAAAAACAAAACTGAGGCAGGATGAGTGTCCCGTCCTACAACGCTTTGAACCAGGGTTTAGATTCTGGAGTATCAGCATGAAGTGGTGAATTCTCTGCGGGCAGGACCAAGCTGCAACACAGATTCACTTCTGCTTCCCGCGTACCCGGCTTCGCGGTACCTTCATGCAATCCTTCCAGCACACAAGAGCTATTCCCGCCACGGAGAACTTTCCACTTGTGATGCGGAAACACAGGTCACGGGTTTTAAAGCAACGTGGGCTTCGAGATCAAGGACTGCTCGCCCTTGGGGCCAGAGGGAACCGAGCAAGCAGTCAATTTCAAACCGAGAGAGCTTTACCATGAGCCCCCCATGGACACCGCTGCCTCGGAGATTGGGGGCGTATTCCGCCAAGTCCACAGAGCGCAGCCACTCCATCACTCGGTGGTTGGTCCACTGCTGGACCTCGCATGGGGTGATGCCGCTCTGTGGAAACAGACATGTATTATACTTCAGATGCTGGCGGCAGGACCACAGGTCTGGCCTAGAAAGCATTCTGTCTGGCATCCCATGAACTATTCAAAGAAAAGGCAAAACAAGTGTTTGCTAATTTGACTGCTCTTTGAAAGAACCAGCATCACAGACTCAAGCTTTTTTATGCAGTAGGAAATATTTACAGTGACATTTTACTCTGCAGATTGAGCTGGCAGTAGAAGGTATGGCCCACGCACAGGGGGAAGCAGAGAGACACAGTGGGAATCTATGGGAATAAAAGGGAGGGACACGGGAAAGCAAAGCCCGAGAAGTCAAGTGAGTCGGGATCAGAGGCTCTAAGGGAGCCAGCTCTCTCTGCAGGTTCCGGGAGAAAAAGGCTCTGAGTTTTCACACACTTCACCTGACCGTCAAGTTCACACGTGCGAACCTCTTGTCTGAAAAAGCTACCTCATCAGACGGCCGCCTCCGCAGGCAGTTGGGCTCGAAGTTGTTGATCCTCAGGACTTGGATGGCCCTTTTGATGCTGAGGTGGTGCAGCACACTCACGACCTTCAGGGACAGTAGGTCGTCCTGCAGAGGAGGAAGAGGGACTCACTGTGCTGGCCAGCAATGGGGAGGGGGTGAAAGGGGGGCTCCCTGGGGGAATCGCACAGCTCTGCTTGTGATTTCAAGGCTCATTTAGTAACAGAGCCCTTTCCTGTTCTCAACAAATCCTCTCTAGAACCTCAAATTCATATTGCTCCCCCAAGTCTGCTACCTCTTCCTCGCTCTTACAGATTGATAGGATGGAGTCACACCAGGGCTCTGAAAAGCACCCACTGGTCACTACAGAGGATAATCTTAGGGGGCAGGGAGAGACAGTCTCTTTGCAGCCAGGCTAGCCTCAACACGAGATCCTCCTGCCTCTGCCTCAAGAGCTGCTGAGAAGGAGTGCTGTGGCATTGGGCCTTGAGGAGTTCCTGTCTCCTCCTTAGGCCCCAGAACTGGATCTGCAAACGCCTGCAGGTCAGCAGCCACACTGCCCTCCCTTTCAGCAGAGTTGACTCGGAACGCTCACAGGGGATCAAGCTTCCCGGTCCCACTAAGTGCCCCCAGTCTTGACTGTTTGCTTCACCTAACAGCATGGTGGGAAAACTATGTCCCTCGGTGCAAGGGTTTGAGTAACAGTAAAGGAGAAAAGAAATGAAGACTTTTAAGTGTCAGCACATCACCAATCAACTTTTTCAAGGAAACTTCTTGGGCCATGAGAGCAATTTCAAACATTCCTAACACACCTCAACAAATGATTTCAGCAGTAGGTGATTTCAGGGCAGTGCCGAGATAAATCTAAACACACCCAGAGAACAAGCAGATGGCTGTCTGTGTAGGCACTCAGCACACCTGACTGATAACACATTTCTTGTGAAAAAAAAAAACTCCAAGAAATTAGGAGTAAAAATAAAAAGTTAGTAGTTTATCCTTGAGGCTACTGGGCAAAAATTATTTCTTAACTTTTTATATGGTTAACTTAGTAAAATCTGTGTCTTAGGATAAATTAGAAAATGTATTTAACATATTTTAATCCAAAGCTGAGATACTCATTCCACACATTTCAGTGTAGGCTACTTTCATTTAATTAAAGTCTATCAGATTAAGAAACATCTAAACATATTATGTTTCCAACATAGATAAAATGCTAATTACTCCTGAAAATATATTTGAAGAAGTTTTATGAGAATTGCTTTCATTTAAACCCTTTTAAGTCTGGGGCCCGTTTAATCCCAGCATTCAGAAGGCAGAGGCAGGTGGATCTCTGTGAGTTTGAGGCCGGGCTGGACCGATAGCCTCCAAAACAATACAGAGAAACCCTGTCTCGTAAAACCAAAAAAAAAAAAAAAAAAAAAAGACACCAACACAGATACCAAATGCAGGTTTTGTTCAGCTTTTGATGATTCTCGGGCTTATTTATTATTATCACTAGTGCATGTGTGTGGCACATGTGGAGGACTCGAGCACACGTGTGTGGCACGTGTGGAGGACTCGAGCACACGTGTGTGTGGCACGTGTGGAGGACTCGAGCACACATGTGGAGGTGAGGAGATAACTGTAGAGTTAGTCCTTGCCTTCCACCTTTACACGGGTCACAGGAATAGGACTCGGGTGGTCGGGCTGGAACGAACAGCGAGCCCTTTTACCTGCTCAGCCATCGCATCGGCTCCCAAATTGGCTTTTTGCTCCCTGTTTTTTGCCCATTTCCCACTCAGGTCCTTTTTCTGTTCCCGGAGCCAATCCAGGGAACCACATTCCAACAGGGACTTTAGGCTCGGGACTCACAGGTCACACCTTCCTGGTCACTCAGTGTCGCTCTGGCAGGAAGATCTTGCATGTGCTTCCTGTGATTTTTCAAGTGTGAGGCTGTTCAAATTCTCATGGGACATCTGACCCATCACATCCCATGGGCATGGACAGAGGCAGGTCAAATGTCACTAAATGTGTCCCAGGTGGAATAGTAAGCAATTAAGAGAAGGTCCTGGAACCAGCCTAGCTTCAAATTATCTATGACACCGCACCACTCAGTAACCACAGAAACCTGGGTCCATTACCCAACCTCTCAACTCCTTGTTTCCTCATCGTAAGAATGGAGACGACAATGATGCGGACCTAAAGGATTACTGAGAATCGAGCATCCAGGAATGCGTGCTTAGAAAACGGCAGTGACTATAAAACAAGCCAAACTCACTAGGGTTCTTCATGCAAGGCCACATGGTGGTGCGGTCCCCCCTCCAAGCTTTTAAGGACTTTGGCTCAATGATAAAAGAATAAGAACCCTAGGAATGGAGCTCCAAATTCCTTTCACAGTGAGAGATTTTTAGGGAGTCAGCAGGTTAATTTCCACTTATTTAACCAAAGGTAACACCTATGGGTCTGCCTAGTTTACCAAGCACTCTTTAAATGACAGTCTCTCACGTGGAACATTAATTGTAGTATGGAATATAGAACAAGGCTCTGGAGTCCACCTCCCCGCTGCTGTATGTAGGGAATGGTCTTTCTGTTCTCTGACGGGAAGACAAACTATCCAATAGACAAGGAAGCAGTGCGGGTCTAGCCTACCCTCCCCTCCTTCACCCCTGTCACGCCTGCCCTCGTGGGACTGATCTGAAGTGTGAAGCATTTCCAGGGAACAATTCTGAGAAGGAAGGCGAGGGAGGAGGCCAGTCCTTGCTTGTGGGTGCCAGAGCAAAGGGTAATGCAGAAATGACCAGGGCTTCAGTCCTCTCTGTGACATAAAATTCACATACCACAAAATACAAACATTCACAATGTACACTTCAGAATTTACCTTAGTGACTACATCAATCCTGCAGATAGCTTAGGCTACGACATCAACTTCTCAGGAAACACCCAGAACAGAGAGCCACTTACCACAGTCATGTAATGCAGCATTCGGCCGTCCACCCGGCCTTCATCAAACTGGGTCTTGTACTGCGGGAGGCCAATATCATCCAGCCACCCTAAAGGAGAGAAGCCAGGGTCATCACCACGCAACAAAGTGAAAAGGTGACAACACCGATTCTTTTCACCCATAAGAGACGCTTACTGGTGACCCAGTTGAAGTCCAGCTTCCCATAGTTGGTTTCCTCCTCAGATCCCAGGGCCTGCAGGGCCAACTGCAGCTTCTTGCGATGCAGTGACTGCTTGATGCCGAGCTCCTGAAACAGTAGACGGAACCTCAGAGCTCTACCCACCGGCAAACGGTGCAGGATCCTCCACAATGAAGCTGCTCCTCAGGACCAGCTCTGTCCTAAGTTAAAAATGCTACCTCAGGCTAATAAGCCCATTCGACATTACGTTACAGTATGAGCCTCAGGCCATACAACATTGCTGGAGAAAAGGCCCAGGTCTACCTCGGTGGGCTGAGTAGAACGTTAGACGTTGCCTAGGGATCTGATGTATTTGTAAAAAGGAGACATTGAATGTATAGTGTGGATTTTACTCCTATTTTATGCAAAAGCATTCAATCATTACAAAATAAAATATAGAATATTATTTTGTGAAATAAGATTGGATTGTCTATATCACACTGAAAAGTAAGCCAAAGTAAGTTTACAAAAATGCCTGAGATATATGGGCTCTATTCATTATGTAAGAGCTACAATCACGTATCTTTTCAAGAGTAGCAACACAGGTCCCATTCACTCTGCTTTGTTTTAGAATAATTCAGGCTTCATGCTCTGGCGGGGGACTGAAGCTTGGGCGTCACTCATACCAGACAAGCACTGTACCCTTGAGTTTACATCCCCAGCTATACACACACATTCCCTTCTTCTTGGTATGCACAAACAAAAAAGGAAGCAGCTACCTTCTCTAGGTCTTGTTGAGAAGCCTGCAAAAGTGTCTGGCCAGAAATAATCCAGTGCTTTCCAGAGCTCAGGTAGGACCCCAAGCCTTGCTCCGCTAGCCAACTGCACACTTGCTCCTTGGTCCACTTGGCAAATGGCATATCCAGGTCACTGTGGGAAAATAAGCAACAACCGTAAGCCAGCCCTATGTGTAACAGGATTGTGCATGCAACAGATATGGAAACTCCCTGGTGGCACACAATTAACCAAGTAAACCTCATTCTCAGGACAAGATCGGTAAGTTGCCTTCTTCTAAAAGTCCCTGTTTTCAATTCAAAAGAAACTGCAGAAGGATCAGTGAGAGCTACAAGAACTCACTCTGCAGAGAAGCCACGAAGATGAGCGTGTAAGTTGGAGTCAAACAATGCTACCCAAAGCACACTCCCAAACGAGAACACTCAACTTGGCTGAAAGAAATTCAAGTCTAATATGCATTCACTTTTGCAGAATTACGGTTTCTCTTCGGCAAAGATCGCCGAGAAGATAGCATGCTCCTGCTAGGTTACTGGAAGGAACTCTCCAAACAAAATTTGCATTTTCTTTTACTTACACAGTTCTGTAGCTTGACAGAAAAAGTATGAAGGTTATATAGCTAAACTGAAAAAAATTATTTATGGTGTGTGTACACACATGACAAATTTCTGTTTTAGCACAAGGGAGTTCTTTATTGTGCTTGAGGAGGACATATGGCAAGTGAGAACATCTGTTATCTGAAGGCCAAAGGAAACCTTGAAGAAAGCTGTATCCAGGGCTCCGCCTGTGTGTGTCTGTTTCCAGCTGATTACTCTTTTAAAGGCTCAGCACCAACACCTCAGTGTTCGCCAACCCCACCCTTTTATGCTCAGGCCGGTGTAGTTGGCTCCAAACTGGTTCCGGGCTTGAACAGAGCGCAGGGAGAGCTCTTGGAACCCTAATGAGCGAAACATTATGTAGCGTTTCCCAGCTAGCACAATGAGGCATTTATTCATTTCGTGAACAACGCAAGGTCTGGATAAGCCCAGCAATCCCAACAGAATGTGTCTTTAAGTACTTTCAAAGACTGATCAACGGCTAATGTCCACTGATCAGTTGTTATCTGACAGATACTTGACCCATATCAACTCAATCCTCACCTCTTGGGGTAGGTGCTAAGTCTTACTATGAAGCAGAGCGTGGAAGCCACAGCTCGGGGTCCCCTGGCTGGTGGCCAATGAGGCCAGAGAGCAAGTTCCAGGGGTTGGACTCTAGACATAATTTCTCTTTTTGTTTTTTTGGTTTTTTTTTGAGACAGGGTTTCTCTGTATTGTTTTGGAGGCTCTCTGTAGACCAGGTTTGGTCTGGAACTCACAGAGATCCAGCTGCCTCTGCCTCCCGAGTACTGGGATTAAAGGCGTGCGCCACCACCACCCGGCTCTAGACATAATTTTTACCTCCTCCACTTCCACCTCTCAGTTCAGGAGCTGGAACCCAGAACCCCTTGTATGCTGACAAGGTCTCTGCCACAAGTCCAGTCCTTAGACCCATCTCCTAACCAAGACTGTACTTCCAGAGATTCCCCACACTAAAAACTAAGCCCAGGGACCACTGCAGCACACACATTCCTGGCACTTCATGTATTCACACAGCCCTCACCAGCACAGCAGCCAGCAAACACTGGCAAACAGTACCACCCCTCCAGACACAGCCTTGAGCCAGGACTTGGACGGTGGCGACGCCACAGCTGTTCTCACCTGTTGGACTGCCCCAAGTCTCGGGACCAGCCGAGCCTGGGGCCTGCAGTTGCCCTTGTCCCTCCTCTTTTGAATTCAGGCTCGGACATGTCATCCGGGTTGAAGGTGGTTGACTGGCTTCTCCTGAGCCTGAGACACAGCACAGATGGTTAGACCCGAGAAGGCTCTGCTTTGACCATCAACCACAGCGGGTTTCGTATATCATTAGCCCGGGCATTTGCATTTACCCAAGGCCCAACGAGTCAATGAATGCCAAATCGGTCTTCTTCCCAAGAAGCCTTGGGATTTGGTGCCCACTGCCAGCCAATCTTCCCATCATCCCCTGCACTCAGCCACACGGGAGTCAGGCGCCCCACCTGGCTTGGCTCCCTTCCACTTACTTCCCAAAGAGTCTCATGATGCCTCTGGACTTCTTTCTGGAGTCTGGAGATGGTGGAGACATCTGGAAAGGCCCGGTCCCCTGTGAACCTTTTGGCCGAGATGTACCGGCCAAATCTAGGTGCTCAGCTGTCTCCTTCTCTGTCTCAGCTGTCCCAAGGATAGAATAAAGACCGTGTGAACACAACTAAGTATTAACCTTCTTGGTTTTAGTCCCTAGAGAGGTCTTCTCCGGGTCTATAAAGCGGTGACTGACAAGAGAGTGCTCTTACGTATGGAAAATGCATGTAAGTGTATGCTCTCTACAGCTTACTCTCCTGCATAAAGTTAACGAGCTTAAAAATCACCCCTTTGAGGTTAAAAGTGCGGGGCAGAGCTGGGTGTGGGGGTGCACACATGTAAATCCATCACCCTGGAGGCTGACATAGGGGGACTGATTGTGAGACAAACTTGGGCTACAACGTGCGACTCTCTCCTTAACATAAACAGTGCCTCAGAGTGGTTCCATTTCTGAGTGCTGTGACTCATGATGAGATTGTGCCTAATCTAGCGCTTGGCACAGCGAGCCTCCTGCAGCCTCTAACATCACCACCCCCTCTCTGGCTTTATTTTCACAGGAGGACGGCACCAAAACCTCTGAGTCTAACCTCAGAGTACCAGGTTAATGTGCCTCGGGCACATAGGGCTTATCAGACCCATCAGTTTCCCTGAAAGCCTTCTCTCAAATTGTATTTGACACCGAATTCCAATTCTATGTCATTTTCTCCTTAACACCCTTTCTCCTCTGCCATTGCCATTTAGAGCTCATCAGCCACAGAGGACTTGCAATTCTTTCTCAAGAAATGGATCACCAGTACGGAGGTGCATTCCCATTAAATCCTAGCACTCGGGAGACCAGGCAAGAAAATCTCAAGCTGAAGGTCAGACCAGGCTGTAGTTGAGACCCTGTCTCAAGAGGGGGGAGGAAAAAATCCTAGCCTATTGTATATTGAATATGAGCAAGCAATGACTAGATAGGTATGTGTGGGCTTTTCTTTAGATATAAAATCAGTCTTTCGTAGTTTGGCCTGAAAGAATAACACCCACACTTGCCTCTGCAGACCTCCACACATGCATGACGTATATCCCTTCTACTGTCCATTCCCGGAAGAACAGCCACAAGCAGTGACGCGGCTGTTGGTTTCCAAAGTGTGAAACTTTACATTTTATAAAGGAAAATAACACTTGTTCAAAAAAAAAATCAGCGAAAGGGTCTCAGGAGTCGCAGAAGTTGCAGAAGTTGAGTTTTCTATGAAGCAGAGCTGTGACTACAGGTTACTGTAAGCGGCACTGGACTACAAGCATCGACTACTGCCCTAAAGGACACAGGAGTAGCTGGGAGTAGTTGTCCAACTAGAAGAGTTTATTCTGTGCAGCCAGCGCTCACTGTAAACACTTCAGGCTCCAAAGATGTCCCTTTGCTAGGACGTGTGCATCCACAATCGGTATCTGTACAAGGTGACAGCCTCAGGGAAGCCCAGAGGGAATCTACGCACTCTCTCACCACAGTCATGGAGTACGGGTACCCTGAAAATGTTCCTAGCCCAATTCATTTAGAAAGCATCATAGTCTTTATCTTATTTTTTTGAGGGTTTTCTTCAGAGTATTCCCCACAGGGAGAAGAATGAACTTCTCTTAAAAGCACCCTGACGGATACTCCCCCAGACACCTCGTGAAGTCACCTCTGTCATCACTAAGTATCCCTAACGCCCCAAGTAATACGATGTCCAGAACGTCCCTCCAAGAGCAGTAAGTCAGCTCTTGCCTGGCAACAGACATTCCGAGGGGAGGGGCGGAGGCTGGGAAAATGAACACACGGAGGAGGAATGCGGGGTCGGTGGGCGATGGCTCAGCCATGGGTCAGGGGAGCTGGACGTTTGACGCCAGCTCCTTCTAGCCCTGCACCCTGCAGGCTGCTGGGCAATAGTAGGGCCTCTCCGAGCTGCTTACAACGTGTCGATAGCACTGGCTACAAGAGCGTGTAGACTCAGAAGCAAAGTGAGGTCTGTTTCCGCCAAAGACGGAGGGACACTTTGGAACAGACTGCATTTTCTGGTTGCGGCCAGCTTGCTTGGTAGAGATCACAGAGGCCAAGAGTGGGGATTGGATGGTTCAGAGTGCAGCGCTGGCGCAGGCTGGCATGCAGGGGTAACGATACCTAAGGTGGGTGCACTGGCACTTCGTTTACGGTCTTCAGGGATCCCAACAACGCACACAACACATGCAGCCCAATGGAGAGAGCACAGGGACGACAAAATGAAGACAGATCAGACTCCTCCCTCCAAGGCGGGATGCCCGTAGGAGGAATGCACGCATGCACTGAGACTGTACACACTGCACAGGGTCGTCCGCGGGAACTCGTGCATCCCACCACCACAGAGGGAGACGGTCTAAACAAAGTCGCAGACCACCACAGGGGCCAGGACGATTTCACTTTGCTGTTTAAGTGGGGGTAAGAACGGACTCATCTTCACACTTGCAAATTAAATCACTGAAGCATTTCTGCCAACACCATCTCCCCCTTCCCGAAGGCATTCGCCTCCATGTCTGAGAAAGACACATGTATCCACAGATGAACAGAACATGGGTGGAACCAAGCCTTTCCCTCCCTCCGCCTGGAAGGTCAGGACCTAGGTACCCTTGCCACACATACCAAGGTTTGGTGCACTCGCTGTCCTCTTGTTACTTTTGATTTTAAAAAAGCCTCGGCCAAAGGAGGACCTGGCTTTTCGCGTGCCAAACGGGTTGTCATCCATGGAGGCGTCGTGTCCTGGAACCTTGGGAGGCAGGGTCTCAAATGTGTGGCTGTCGGTTGGAACTTTATCCTGAGGGGTGATGAGGAGGTAATGGCGTGTTAGGGTGTGTTATCCTTAGGACAGAAGGTGGGTCTCAAACCAACAACTGGACAGACCACTGAAGTAACACACTGAGCCCAACGCCAAGCGACAAATTAAAGAAGCCTAGGCAATAGACAGCAACACGATGAACACCTCTAACTCGCTCTACAATCAATACATTTGCTACTTTAAATATTTAAGACACCTCTAAAAACAATTAAGTTCTATCTGCCTCATTCCTTCAAGACAAGGAGCGAAGACACTCCGTACCCAGGACAGTAGAATTCTTATTTTTCTAGCAATTTATGGTGCAGAGCTATAAATGAGCTTGCATCCTTAAATCAGTCACCACAACAGCAACAGAAGCCTGAGGCGAGCCTACGAAGCAGGCAGTGCACAAGCTTTAACACACGAGGAGAGCCTCCTCAGTCATCTTACACTCTTCTCAAAGGAGAGGAGGAAGGCACATTCGGCAACTGTTTGTCTTGAGCTTTCCGAGTCAGCCGTCAAGCTCACAAAGGGTGTCGCCCTGCTCTAGTATCACCGAGAGACACTTCCGGTTGCCTTTCCTTTCTAACCCTCCTGCTCTCTGCTTTCCTTTGCAGAGCTGGAGAGAGGGCCGCAGAGATGACTGACTGCATCAACCCCAAGTCTATGTGCACAGCAGAGCCGTTCTCTACGTTATCACTGACAAGTCCTTTGATCATTTATCGAACAAAGAGTTGAAAAGGACCTGAGTGACAGCTGTCTCCACTGACTGCCGGTTCCGGATCTAAGGACTCGGGCACTCAGAGCTGACAGTCAGGACTGGAACGGGCCTTGCACCCCACAGCAGCCCTTAATAAGGTTCATGATGGGAACCCAGTGGGAAGACCTGGGACCCATGCTGGCCACCTGTTTAGAACGCCATGCTTGCTCCTATGGACAAGGGCTGTAGGAGACAAACAGCTGGTAGTCTAAGGGCTTTCTGCAGGGCCTGGGGAAGGCGGCTGCTCACACAGATGATCAAAGCACACGGCTAGCATCCACGGGTTGCTTTTCTAATAACAGACAGAGGTGAACTGTGGGAAAACTAAGCCCCAGTGGGCCTGACAGCTGGCCCAGAGCAGGCGCAGTTGGTATCTCCTGACCCCAGCCTGGGTCTGCCAGAGGCCTTGACAACAGTAGAGCAGAGATGATGAGGACCTGAGGAGACCGATGACATCGCCTCCGCAGGTGCCAGCTCAGTGGCTCTCCTCCCCTGGGGCAGGGCTGAGGGGTATATAAACTGAGTTTGTCGTTTCAGCCTGTTCCCCGATGCCTGTGTCGCTCCTACTCTCCCCAACCCCCAAGGGACACCCTCTGGATACTGCAACAGTGAACCATAAAAAAATATTTATTTACTTATGTGTATGTGTGCCTATATACAAGCATGGGAGTGCATGTGCCACACAACACGTGTGTGTAGAGGTCACTCACAACTTGTGGGAACTGCTCTTGCCTTCTAGCATGAGTGCCCCGAGGATTTAACCTAGGCCGCAGGGCTTGATGGCAAACGCCTTCACCCCTGGAGCCATATCAACTGCCCACATCAACTTTTCCTTTTTTTACCGAAACGTTCATTTTTTTTTTTTTTGGTGTTTACGAGACAGGGTTTCTCTTTATTGTTTTGGAGGCTGTTGGTCCAGCCTGGCCTCGAACTCACAGAGATCCGCCTGCCTCTGCCTCCCGAGTGCTGGGATTAAAGGCGTGCGCCACCACCGCCCGGCCCGAAACGTTCATTTTATGTCTACCCAATACTTACTCCCTGGTCAGGGGCTGCCTGGGGACGAATCTGAGACCACATGTCTGCACTTGTGCTATACATGAGCTTTGTGTGTCCTATGTAAAGAATAATGCTTGTATGTCAGGTACTCGAATTCATGTGTGTATATGGAGGCTCAAGGTTGGGTGTCTTCCATTTCTCTCCACTGTATTGTTTTAAGGCCAAGTCTCACTGCTCCTGGAGCTCACTGACTGACTAGACCAGGGGGCAAGTCCCAGGGATCCCCTGTGCCCAGGATCTTCCTGGGATGACAGGCATGTGTTTCCACGCCCAGTTTTTATGGAGTTGCTGGGGATCTAAACTCAGGTCCTCATGCCTGCAGAGTGCACACTCCACCACCAAGCCATCCCTCCAGCCCCTAAGAATAATTTAAGTTTTACGTATCACTCAAAGCGCCTTCGTTATCCCATTTCCAAGCAATGCTCCTACCCCTATTTCTTAGAAGTTCTGTAGAAGTTTATGCTTTTTGTTTTTTGGGTTTTTTTGGGGGGGAGGTTGTTTTGTTTTTCAGGACAGGGTTTGGAGGCTGTCCTGGAACTCACTCAGTAGACCAGGCTGGCTTTGAACTCACAGAGATCCGCCTGCCTGTGCCTCCCGAGTGCTGGGATTAAAGGTGTGCATCACCCATGCCCGGCTGAAGTTTGTGGTTTTTATTCCTCCTTTCTTTACAGTTTTACCACCTACAGATGCCACTAAACGACACATTTATGCTTTGATAGGTGTTGGTATTTCATGGACACATTTCTGTCCTCTGAATTGTCTCTGAAATCCATCTAGGAAATGCAGATGTATTTCTTCTCATAGATGCATACCTTTAAGTCAGAGAGCAGCAAGGGGGACTATTTCTGACTTGTGAATCATGCAGTCTCTATCACAGTTACTCAACACTGACATTCTTGCGTGAAAATCGCTTTAGGCAGTATGTATAAATGAATGGGCATAACACATTGCAATGTAAGTTTGGGTAAATGTGCAGCTGGTCTTGAGACAATGGTCTGCCAGCTCCTGAGCTCCGAGTGCCATGAGGAATCAATCCTTTGGAGTAATAATCCATATTATATCCACTTCTCTGCTTACTTCAGCAATTACATATAAGCATACAAATGAAAAATATTTTAAAAAGGAAACCAGCCAGGAGCTAACTAATCTTTATGTAGTTCAGTTGTTTATGGATCTGAATTTTTGATGTTACAACTTGGTCAGCACTGGGTGAGACAAACTAACCACAGTGCTGAGACTAGTCTATAGTTTCAAGCGGAGTCCCCAGCTGAGGCCTCGGATGGTCCTTCCCATAGCTTTCAGCTTCCACAAAGGTCCTCACAGGCCTCTGTGGGGCTGTGGAATGTTACTCTAACTGGGCAAAGATGCATTACATTTGTTTACGCTGCATTTGATTAGTTGTGGAAAGACATGTTGCATCTGTTTCACCTGATTGGCCTAACAAAAAGCTGAACGGCCAATAACTAGGCACGAGAAAGTATAGGCAGGGCTGGCTGGCAGAGAGAATAAATAGGAGGAGAAATCTAGGCTCAGAAGAAAAAAGAGAGAGAATGAGAGGAGGAGGAGGGGGAAGAGGAAGAGGAAGAGGAAGAGGAGGATAGAACTAGGGAGACGCCCAAGACAGAGGCCAGGCAGACCCAGAGAAGCAGTGGACATAAGGTAACCAGAAGTAAGAAAGGTGAAAAGCCCCGAGGTAAGAGGTGGGTAAAGAGAAACAGGTCAATTTAAGTTAAAAGAGCCGGACAGAAAAGATCTGAGCTAAGGCTGAGCATTCAAAGCTAACAACAGTAAGTCTGGGTATTGTGATTTGGGCTCGTTGGTGTCTCCAAAGAGAAAGTCTGGTACGCTCTGCTCTGCTGTCCTGGTGTGTCTGGGCTCTGAGCAGAGGGTATGAAGTGACCAGCAGAGCTCTCTAGCAGGCCGCTAAAACTCTGCTAAATGGAATGGATCCTTCTGGAAAAGTTTTCTGTATTTTTACATGATTGTTCCACCCTTCTAATGCCAGAAGTGGACTCTTTCAACCACCAAGTTGGAAGCCCATTGGTGTGGAGCTCTGGCTTGAGATGAAAATCAAGAGGAGAAAGTGGGCAGGGGATCACATGAAGTACCACAGGGAGGAGAGGAGACCAGTGTGTGCTGCGGAGTACGGTCATGGGCTTGCTTGACTTTCTGTGGGATGTGTGTGCATGTGTAGATCAGAAAAAGGTGCTGGGTCCCTTAGAGTTTGTGAGCTGGGTGCTGGGTTCAGAACTCAAAATTAACTTATTTTCAGACAGGGTCTTACTCTGTGGACCAGTCTTGCCTCAAACTCACAGAGATCCACCTGCTTCTGCCTCCCAGGTATTTGAATTGTAAGTGTGTGCCACCATGCTTAAAAAAATTAACTTAAAAATACTTATGTAGCTGGGCATTGGTGGCGTACGCCTTTAATCCCAGCACTCGGGAGGCAGAGGCAGGAGGATCTCTTGTGAGTTCAAGACCAGCCTGGTCTACCGAGCGAGTTCCAGGACAGGCTCCAAAGCTACACAGAGAAACTCTGTCTTGAAAAACCAAAAAACAACAAACAAACAATACTTATGTATGTATGTATTTTAGTACACGGGTGTTTATCTGCATGGACACCTGCACGCCTGAAGAGAGCACTGAATCCCATGGGACTACAGTTACAGATAGTTGTGAGCTCCATGTGGTTGCTGGGGATTGAACTCAGGTCCTCTGGAAGAGCAGCCATGCTCCTAACCCCCGAGCCATCTCTCCACTGACTTTTTTGTGGCTGTTTTGGAGACATGGTTTCTCTGTGTAGCTGGAGCTAGCTCTGTAGACCAGGCTGGCCTCAAACTCCTGAGTGCTGGGATTAAAGGCATACACTAGCACACCTGGCTAAAATTAACTTTTTAAAGTAAACAACTCAGTGACATTTAGCCCTTCTCTGAGTCACAGCCACCCCATCTCGCCCCAGAACACTGCCACCATCCTATAGCCGAGGCCCCCAGCTTCTCCTTTTCCTACCCTTTCCTCCCCACTATGGCCACCACTCTGCAGCCTTCTCTGAGGACGCAGTCATGATGCACACTTCTCTGAAGAACAGGCGCGTGCACCTGACCTTCCAAGCACACGCTTTGGACACTCTGACAGCCTTGGTCTCCTGGGCCTAATTTACACTTAAAAGATTTTTATACTTCAACTCAGATATAGAAATTACCTCTGAAGGCTTCTGGATAGACTCCTTTTCCTGTTCAAAAACAATGACATGTAAGGAAGGCTACTGTAAAATCTTGTAGACATTCAGTTGTCAGATACACTTCTATAAATAGGAAGCCATTTACATCACTTTTAAACCACAAAAATCTTAGCTGTATTTATTTCCTACAATGTTTTATGTTTGTCTCAACCTTTTATTTATGTACTTTTAGTCTTTAATACTCATTCTTAATATCTATCATTAACTGTGCCACGGCAGCAACTTCCCATCAGAGAAACCACAAGTTCTTCCTAAAATGAAGTTTTCCCGTGTGTAAGTAAAGATTCTTCCCTCAGTATTTTCTTCTTAGGGTAACAACAGAAAAGGAAAAAGGGGAAAACAAAGCAAAACAAAACACAACACAACCACCCCCGGAGAACTCACTAAGCCATCTGATGTCTCTCTCTTCAGGTTGCCCAGGCTGCTGGATTTCTGCAGATTTGAAGTTCTAACAACAGAAACAATGATAATTAGAATTAACAGTAAGTTGACTCTGGTGCCTGTGTCTACACAGATCGTCTTAGAAGGAAACTAAAAACTGTCTGGGAGTTGAATCTTGGTAATAAAAGAAAACCTGGGCCCAAGCAAGCACTTATGTGCTTAAGTAAATTGCAGCATTTAGTTCTTTTAAAAGCAGGGTGGTTAACTGTCCTGCCAGTAACACAAACTGTCCCACACATGTCACAGTAGCTGGAAAAACACTTAAGACTGCCCTGGCAATATCAGTGTTTTCCATGGACTAGTGGCACTTACACATTTACACCAGGAATTTCTTAGAAGCTTGTGCACTGTTAGATCTAATCCTTCTGCTTGCAGAATGAAAAGTCTGCTTTTCTTTCAAAGAGGAATAACTTTTTCTGAGTCTGGCAAAGCATAATAAGCCAGATTTTGTGGGGGCACGCCTGTAATTCCAGTACTCAAGAGGCTAGGGCAGAAGGACTGCTGAATGTCTAAGAACAGCCTGGGCTATCAAGACAACGCCTGTCTCCAAACATGAGCGAGAAAGAAGGGCAAAATTAAAGCGGGGAGGGGGAGATGCATATGCACTAGAGCGGCGGTTCTCAACCTTCCTGACGCTGCAACCCTTTAATACAGTTCCTCATGTTGTGATGACCCCCACAACCATGAAGTTATTTTCATTGCTACTTTGTATCTGTCATTTTGCTACTGTTACGAATCGTAACTTGTAAATATCAGTGTCTTCCAACCACCTTATGTGACTCTTGTGAAAGGGTCGTTCCACACATCCCCAAAGGGGTCTCAACCCAAAGGCTGAGAACCGCAGCAGTGGAGGAACCCTTGTCATTGCCCACAGTAATTCATTTGCTAGCCTAGGAAGGCAGAAGGAGTCTGCAAGTCACAGAGACTTTTTCTTTTACATAATTAGCGTTCAGTCATACACAGCTGGAGACCATATTACTCAAAAACAAAATGCACAAATATGGAGCCAGTTTCAGAGAGAGAGAGAGAGACAGAGAGAGAGAGAGAGAGAGAGAGAGAGAGAGAGAGAGAGAGAGAGAGAGAGAGAGAGAGAGAGAGAGAGACTGGGAGTGTAGTGCCAGAGTGCGCTTGGCATGTGAGAGGCCCAAGGCTCGATCCCAAGCAACACAAGATAAAAAGGAAGGCAAGGCAGGGAAGAGACTAAAGAAGGCATGTGTTTACTCCAAAAAACTAGAACAACTATGCAATCTAACTTTTAAAAGGCATTTCTGCTTTTATGTAAGTTGTCAATAGTGCTGACTGCCCAAAAAAAGTAAAAGATAACAGAGAAACAGAAACATTTCATCCAAGTTCTGCTCTGAAAATAGGCTCTCCAGGTTGTCCGGGGCTTTCCTAATCTGATCCAGACGTTAGTTGGGTAAACGCCCATATCGGGCCAGTTTATTGAACTGTAAGAGAGCAGCTCTGCCAGCTGTCACATTCCGTGAGAGCCTTTTCTCTTGGAGTAAATAAAAAAACACGAATCAGCACAAAAGTGAATCAAAAGTTCTGAACTTCAAATGAACACTGGAGAGGGGGACTAAGGATCTGCAAACACCAGGCATGAGATGCGGGGGAAGGGGTGCTTCTCTGTGCTCATCGGCCCTCCAGCCCACCCTGTCATGACACGCGCAGTCTTGCGCTCACGAGGGGCAGGGCCTCAGCTGAGCACTGTTAGTAATGGTTCCCCGAGCATAACAGATTCCCACTCTCTCAAGCCTTGGTCATGCTCCCCACACACTTACGAAAGGCCATCGCACAGCGGGGCTTCAGCGGCAGCACCCAGGATTGCTTTTCCATCACTACAATATATTTTTTAAAAAGGAGTCTGTTAATGTCATGAACCAGAAGCCACACAGGCGTTCCTAGGCTTACGATGGTGAAGTCCCAAAGAGGCCACCAAGAGGCTCAAATCACTGGGGCCTGTCTATACATATTCTAAGCAAACAAATATTTAAAAAAATAATGCAAAGAAAGCTACTTCTAATTTTTTTAAACGTTTTCTTAGGCCTAATTCAAATTTAGGCAATTAGTCTGAGAATTTTCTGGCCAAGTATCTATTTGCCTCTTGAGACAGAACTGTGTCCCTGATGTGTCGACTTCATAGTGACCCTTCAAACAGCCTCACAGCACCGAGTGCAGCTACTCTGCCCTCACTTTCTGACAGTCACCAATGACCTAGAAAGTTAAACCCAAGTCCTTAAAGGCCCCTCTAACTCCACTCCCTCATTTCTCCAGGCTCCTCCCCAGCCACTTCCCGATCCGTGTGTTTTTATTTCGACATTACAAAACCGACGATGGTGAAAACAGCGTCTGTAAATCAGTGTGATGCGCTCCTATTTTTGGTTACTCTATTTCTCTGAACACTGATATGCTAGTCCATAAATAACATACTTCTCTTCCAAGGAAGCCTCAGGCTTAGTAGGCAACTTGGACTTTTCGGAGGTTTCCACGCCCATCGATGGCGGCAACGGTGAAGGGGCTGAAGCTTGCAGGATGCTGGTGTGAAACTGTGGGAGATTGTAAGTAAAAAGAAAATCAACCACATGAGCAGAACGCGAGCACAGAGTAACAAAACATAACGGGCCATCTACCTAAATCTTAGCACACCCGGGCTTAGAGCCTTGTATTTATAAAGCCATCTCAGAAGACAAGCATCTATGTAAATGAGGTGTTAATGAGAGGGAACACTGTGGAGGAAAGGGGTTTAAGTCGGCTCTGAGACAGGGAGTATCCTGAATAAGAAAGTACCTCGCACCACAAAAAGCGCCGAGTTCTGATCACATTAAAAAGACCTGGGAATGCCAGCACCAAGACACTGACTCTTCTCTTCAGCATAAACGCACGATAAACTGAGTGCTAATCTCATTTTTATTTCTACTAGCAGTCTAACACATAGCATGCGTCATGTGGGTTCATATTCTTTTATGTGTGAACAAGGTGTCTAAAGCTCAACTGTCATAACTGAGGGGGAAAAAACGCATTAAAATCAGCTAGAATATGCTCTGTGGTTACCAGTTAAAACACTATGGAAACAATAAAAGGTGGACCCCATTTTCTCAATCACCTCTGGGTCCTAGGGCTGGAGTCTTCTGAAATGTATGAGAACTGGAGACCAGCGTGTGACTGGCATCAAGAGCTCACAAAGGAAACACTTAAAAATTATTCAGTGAACTCCAGGTCAGCCAATCAGTGGTCTTCTCATTTAACTATTTGCTGCCTGGTACACACCCAGTGTTTCAACACCGAGCCATATTCCCAACGCTTCTTTCTTCCTTCTCCAATTTTTATTAATAATTTTTAAAATAAAAAATTTAATCACAATATTCCCCTTCCCTTTGCTACCAGCCCCATGGACCTCTCTCTCTCTCTCTGTCTCTGTCTCTCTCTCATCCATTCCCTCTTTTTCTAACTCTCTTTTTGGACACACATCAACTCCAACTGCTCGTCTTAACCACACACTCTACCAACAGGCAGCTATCCCTGCCTCTGAGCTCCCAGAATCCACAACCCCCGGGGGTAGGATGGACTTGGGTGAGCTCAGCCAGCAAAGCTCAGCTTCAGGAAGAAGCAATGAACGGATGTGTCAGCTTTGCCTGTTACTGAGTGATGGCACCACGGCAGCTCATAAAACACCCTATTACTGTAAAATAGAATCCTGCTCTGTTTTTTATTGTGTTTTGTTTTCCTGGTTTGGTTTTGGTTTGAGTCTTTACAATCAACGCTGTGTAATCTCTTTAGCATTCACCCATGTTTGCTGAAGTTCGACGATTTCCCTGGACTCCTAATTATGGAAAAAATACACTAACACACTGGCCCGTTTCCTTGATTTCCTTTTCAGGCTTTAAGGTTTCAGTTCCAACTTTAACTTTCCCTCCTGGCTTTTCTTTAAAAATAAGGTTGAACTCTGATCAATTCTCATCACATCATTTTTGATCAGCTTTGAGCAATCGTTTATGACAAACTAAACATCATTAAACTGGAATTCATGAGGGCTGGAGAGACGGCTCAACAGTTACTGGATGCTCTTCCAGGGAACCTGGGTTCAATTCCCAGCATGGTGGGTCACAATGTCTGTAAACTCCAGTTCCAAGGAATCTGGTGCCCTCTTCTGACCACTTTGGAAACTGCATGCATGCATTGTGCATTCATATTCAAACACAACACTCATGCACATAAAATACAAAGAAACAAACCTTTAAGCTGAGACTCATGTAGCAAACACTCTGTAGAATAAAACGGTAATAACACTTACTGAATATCCAAGTTCTCCCTACCCCCCCCCCAAGACTGAGGCAGGAAGATCACTAGTTCTATGCTGTCCTGGCCAATACACTGAGCCTCTGTCTCAAAATAAAACAAAGAGTTTTTTTTCCCCCTCTCAATATAAACACATTTAAAAAGCATAGAACTTCTTCTGGCATCTTAGTTTATGACTAAATCTTGATTAATGAACTGTTCCAGTACTCTCTAATGTTAACCAATGTTAGTGGTTTTCTCTTTGAATTATTTTTCACTCAGTTCAGTTTTTACTTTCTCAGAACTAGCAGGGTAGCTCAATGCAGAGAGGAAAAGGCTAGAAAAAGAGATTCATCACTAAATGTTATTTTTCTTTATGGGATTATCAACAGACATGAGAGAAGGGAAGCAAGAGAGGAGAGAGGGTGAAGGGAGGAGCTGTGGGACACAGCAGACTGTGAGTTCAGAGAGATGTTCCCAGTTCCCAGTCCGCCCAGGCAGCAATTACACTGAAATTAAGGTGTGGTGAGACCTCGGGGCAAAGGTCACCCTGCACTTGAGGAATCCTGGGATAGGCACTACCTGCTACCAGATTCTACCCAGCGGCCCTGCAGGGAGCCTGGGCCCTGAGAGGCAGTAAGGAATTGTGGTGATACATTGCTTATGATTTATTAAAACCACCGGAGATGAAAACAGCAAAGCAGCCACACTAGTTGGCCATAAAAGTCAGGCACTGGTGGCCACACACCTTTAACCCCAGGACTCAGGAGACAGAGGCAGATGGATCTCTCTGAGTCCAAGGCCACCCAGGCTACAAGAGATTGAATCAGTCTAAAGGAGAAACAGAGCTCACACCTTCAATCCCAGGACTCATGAGAAGTGTTTAAGATAGGAACGGGGGTCTCAGAGCTGGCATTCATTCTCCAGCCACACTGAGGAGAGGCAGCTGTCTGAGCCCTGGCGGAGAGCTCATGGAGACAGGATCACCCTTTCAGCCTGAGGCAGAGGTGAGAGCTAGTGGCCGGCTGCCTTGCTTCTCTGACCTCCAGCCTGAAGACTGAACCCCAGTATCTGTCTCTGGGTCTCCTCTTTGCTGTGCTACAAGGAATGCTCACACAAGCTCTCCTGAGGCTCCGATTGTGACGTCACGCACCCAATCAGCTCAAGTGGGGCAAGCACAGCAGGGAAGGAGAGGCGGCTGTGGACCTCGCGGCCCTTTACAAAGCGGAGACCACACTCATCTGAAAACACTGGGAGGGGAAAGAAAGCGGATTTGGACAGAGGAGTGATGAGCTCCGAAGCTGGACACAGATTACCTACCCAGCTGGGTTTGGAACTGTCGTGGACCAGGGACAGGGATGTGCCTTCGCCTTCCCCTCCTTTTAAGCCGTGTCTGCAGTCGCTACCTACTCCTGACTCACCACGCGTGCCGGGTGTGTGGTGACGGACGTCTAGTTTCGTTACACCCCAGCACGGTTGAGTTGTTCAGAGGGATACTCTAGGACCTCCCTGAGGGGCCTCCCTACACATCAACTTGAACGGATGGATGGCAACTCCTGGGAAGGACATTCGGAGACCTTTGCAGAAGGGAAGGCCTCCTTTTATATGTGAGAAGGTGTAAACTGGGTTACCCAGGGGATGAAACGGTGATTGCGTTCCAAAATCGTTACACCACCTCACTCCATGTGCTCTCACTCTGCGGTGTCACATGGGCCTTAGGAGGCGGAGCGTATGCTCGCTGTGAATCTGGCTGCAGCAGAAATGACTTCTGAGTTAAGGTGATGCAAATCCCCCCATCTCCTCAGGATGCTCTCACCACAGGACTGTGAGGCGGCCAAGCAGTCTTAGGGAGTTCTAACAGACTGCTTCCAATAACAAGACATTACAGTAAGACGCCTTCCTGCTACTCCTGGGCTGAGCAGACAGACATGAGGCGTTCCTGCTACCCTCTGCCCACTCTGCAGACTCCTCAGGAAGAGAACAATCCAGCCGCAGTTTGGTGCTGGTGTGTAGCAGACAATGAATAGATGTTCCCAGCGTCATTATATACCCTCACTCGCCCTCACCTGACTTATGTGGTGTTTAGTCTATTTTAGGCTATCTATCTCAAAGGTGCTCATAATTTTGGTTTTGAGGTTAGGGTCCTTCCAGGCTGCTCTCAAATTTCCATCTGCCTCAGCCTCTTACACAGATAAATCTGCAGGCACATGCCAGGGCACTTACTTTTATTGAGTTTTACAAGAAATAGTGACGTTGCCCAAAGCATCCAGTAAGAAGAGGGGCAGCACACATTTAAGGAGGAAAAGACAAGGTCAGTACACAAGGACTGACAGACTAGACCAGTGGGTAAAAGAACCCACGTCACACAGCACCGGCAACGAACACAACAGTAAAGTCACAGCCCCTTCAGCCCAAACAAAGTATCAGAGTCCTGAAGGTACCTCTTCTGGAGAGCTCACGTTGAGCAGGTCTCTGCTGGGAGACCCCATTCCTGGCGTAGAAGAAGTACTTCTCTCCAGGTCACTAAAGCCCTGAGTGTCCAACAGAGTGGAGATGGAGCTGGCGTGGAACAGGCCCTCACACTCGCCGTCCTGGCCTGCAAAAGACGAAGCAGACGACCCTGCAGTTCACTTTCGGAAGAAGAACCAGTAATTACAACACATGTAACACGGAAAATAAAAGGCCCAGAGACAGATACTGGGGCTCAAGCTTCAAGCTGAAGATCAGAGAAGCAAAGCAGCCAAGCCAGTAGACCTTACCTCTACCCAGCTGAAATGGCAATCCTGTCTCCACAAATCCTCAGAGGCAAAAGGCTCTGAACTCCTGCCTCCTCCTCCTTACATTCCTTTCTCCGCCCAGCCACATCACTCCTGTCTCCTAGTGCTGGGATTAAAGGTTTGTGATCCCAAATGCTGAGATCACCTTTGTGTGAGCTGTGTTTCTTTTGGGACTGGATCAATTTCGTACAGTCAGTGTGGCCTCGAACTAAAGAGATCCTTCTAACTCTCAGTCCTGAGTCCTAGGATTAAAGGTATGCGCCACCACAGCCTGATCTCTGTTAACTTGAGGCTGACTTTGCTTCCTGAATCCTCAGGCAAGCTTCAATGAATCACAAATAATACATCACCACAGAGACTCATGATTATGCGTCTTCTTTTTCTTAAACATGCACTGTACTGTTGAGCCAGTCCAAAACATCAACAGAGCCACTCTTTCCTGGCTTCATATGAAAATCAGCAACACAGAACCTAGGATACAGCATCTTAAACCATAAGCAACCAAGGCCTGGCACCCAGGCCACACTAAGTACCCACCAGAGGTAGTGACAGAAGGAGTCAGGCTTGATACAGCCTTGACACAAAAGATGTTTCAAAAAAGAAAAAACCCAAATTTATTTGAAAAGCCCACTGCAATTTTGTTTTAAAAACGCCCAGGCTTTATCAATATGAGTTTAGCCTGGTTTGGTGGCTAGTACCATTAATCCTGGCACTCAGGATGTGGGAGCTGAGGAATCAGAGATTCAAGATCATCCTTGGCTACTTAACAAGTCCAAGGCCAGCCTGGGCTACATGAGACCCTATCTCAAAAGAGTTAGATCGATCTATCTATCATCTATCGTCTACCGACCTACCTATCTATTCACCTACCCACTTATCTACCTACATTCCTATCTATTCCATGCATAACTACACCATAATTTTATTAAGATTAATTTTATTTTTATTTATGACTGTGTGTATGTATGCCATGTGGGTGCATGTATCCACAGAGGCCAGAAGAGGGTGCTGGATGTCTTGGTCCTGGGGCTACAGGTGGCTATGGGTGCCTGAGAGCCAAACTCCAGGTCATCTGCAAGAGCAGCAAATGCTCTTAACCACTGAGCCGTCTCTCCAGACCAACCATAGCTTCTAAATTGAGATTTTACTATAACCTTATCCTAACTTGACTAGATTTTAGATATGATTAAGACTTTTGTGAAGAGTAACTAAATAAATACATCTTAGGGAGTAATTGCTTTTCATAACAACTCTCCACCATAGCAGGGCATGATTTTCGTGACTTTTGTGACTGCTATATCTGATCTCAAACTTCTACACGAGGCTGGAAAGGTTCAGCTCGTTAAGTGCCTGCCCGTATAAGCATGAGGACCTAAGTTTAGATCTCCAGCGTCAACATAAAAGGTGGGCATGGTCTGGAGAGGTGGCCCAGAGGTCAAGAGCACATACTGGATTGGGTTTCCAGTCCCTAAACTAGGCAGTTTACAACTTCCTGTAACTACAGTTGCAGGGATCTGAAGCTTTCTTCTGGTCTCCTCAGGCACTGGCACACATCTGACATACATACAGCCTCCCCACCACACACATAAATAAATAAAAATAAATCTTAAAAGCCAGATGTGGTGGCCTATAGCCTTAGAGACAAATGTGGTATACATACACCCCCCACACACACGATGGGGGAAGTCCTTCTGTGTATATGTTGTCTGATTGGTTGATAAGTAAAGCATTGTTGGCCAATAAGGAAGCAAGATAGGTGGGACTAGGAGTCAAGGAGGATTCTGGGAAATGTAGTCAAGAGTGGAGCGTCGACATGTGATCCCAGGAGGAGAGGACACGTCAGGGTGGTGTCCTCGTGAAGATAAGCCCTTATAAAAATGCATATTAGTAATTACGGGTTAATAATTAGATCGGAGCTAGCCATTAAGAAACGACAGGAAGCCAGGCAGAGGTGGCACATACCTTTAATCCCAGCACTCGGGAGGCAGAGGCAGGTGGATCTCGAGACCAGCCTGGTTTACAAAGTGAGTTCCAGGACAGCCTCCAAAGGTACAGTGAAACCCTGTCTAGAAAAACTCAAAAAAGAAGATGAAGACGAAGGAGGAGGAGGAGGAGGAGGAGGAGGAGGAGGAGGAGGAGGAGGAGGAGGAGGAGGAGAAGAAGAAGAAGAAGAAGAAGAAGAAGAAGAAGAAGAAGAAGAAGAAGAAGAAGAAGAAGAAGAAGAAGAAGAAGCCATAGCAAACGACCAACAGCTTCATAATTAACATAGTGTCTTGTATGATTTGGGGACAGAGACAGCCGGCAGGAAAGAATACACGATACACACACACACATAAATGAAACTGAAATAAACCTTTAATAGCCGGATGTGCTGATCTACACACTCAGGTAGGCAGCTAAAGGCTCACTGACCAGTCAGTCTGGCCAGTTGTGAACTCCAGTGTCAGTGAGAAACTCTATCTTGTGAAGGGGCCACTGATACGATTCAGTGGGAAATGGGACTTGCTGCTAAGCAGGATGACCTGAGTTCCGGGCCTAGAATCCACATGGCAGGAGAAGACCTGCTCTCACAAGTTATCTTTGATGTACCTCATGGAAAGTGGGCAGCTTTATTAGTCCTCGTGAATAAAAAGGAGATGATAACCCATTTCTATTTACTTGTCTGTTTCGAAGCTCCTGGTCCAAAGCAGACTTTTTTGTTGTTTTTGTTTTTTGTTTCTTTTCATTCATGAATTCATCAGAGTTAACATTCACAGGCGCCCAGCCACTGTGAGTGATACCACCACTGGCCTGGTGGTCCTGAGGGGACATAAATAAATAAACAGGCTAAGCAAGCATGGGGAGCAAGCCAGTAAGCAGCACCCTCCACGGCTCTGCTTCAGCTCCTGCCTCCTGGCTCCTGCCCTGTTTGAGTCCCTGTGAACTTCTCTCAGTGATAGACGTGGATGTGGACGTGGACGTGTAAGCTGAACATTTGCCTAGCACGTGCAAGGGCCTAGGTTCAAGCTCTCAGACCAACGAAACAAAACCTCACTGGATTCTTTGCACTTGCTTAAGAGCAGATGTCCAACCCAGCTCTACTGTGATTCCTCTCCTGACATCATGCCACACCCTCCTCACAACTCAGAACTTTCCAGGTGTGCTGGTCTTTCTTCTAAAACACCTGAGGCTCTTGGCACATACTGCAGTTCTTGCTCTAGAATTCTCTGATGGAGATACTCTCACTGACACACGAATCTACACCATGCACATAAGCCTGAGTGTTTCTCACAAGCACAGCTACCTACCACTATGTCAACACATAGATGAGCCACCCAATCTGGGACAATGCATAGGAACTACGAAAGAAACTGAATCCAAACATGTAAGTTCATGGCTGGTTAAGTTTAAGTGGGGTAGGAAGGTTTCCAGAAACGTATTCCACTTTATTACCTTGGGCCAGAATTGCTGGGTCCTGCATTTTCTTGTACCTGCTCAGGCACTGCCGGAGATCTTCTATCTTCCGATCCTGTGAATAATATGGACCATCACCACTAACACAGTTCTCGAGCAGTAAAGGCAAGTGCTGTGAGCTGTTTACATAATTTGAAAATATTTCCAAACTTTAGTAAGAAGTAGCAATATCTGTACTTTTCCTGTGTGTATTGCTGACATAAGAACAGCATCTCTGGTCTTACAAATTCTTTGACTGCCATCTTTAAAAGTAAAACAGACACGACAGCACTTAACAGCGACAAAATCAAGGGCCAGTGAGACAGCTCAGTGGTGGAGAGACCCAACACTGAGTCTCATGACTTGTGTTTGATCCCAGTGGATGAAACTCCAGAGTTCAGATCCCCAGCAAACACATGAAAGCCAGGCATGGCGATGGTAACCTCAGCACTTTGGGGAGTGGGTTAGAAAGATAGAGCTGGAATCCCAGAGCCTGCTGAGGAACCAGTCTAGCTCAATCAGCAGGCTCCGGGTCACTGACCGTCTCAAAAATAAGATGGGGAGAGAATAAGAAGACATTGAAAGTGAACCTGACCTTAACTTTCAGCTTTCATATGCTTTGACACGCGTGCATGTGCGTGGATACACACATATACACACATGCGCACGCACACATACACGCACACACACACACACTCGCACACACATACATGCACACACACACATGCACACACACACACACACACGCAGGCACAGTGAAGGTAAGAGGGACCAGTGAAGGCGTGAAGAAGAGTAGCAAGCGTTGGGGGACGTCATGAGAAAGAGGAGCCATCTCTTGGGCTCCTTGGACTGAATCTTTTCTGGGAAACGTCCCGTTGTCCCGTTGTCCCATTCACTAAGGGACACTAGAGAGAGTGGTCCTGGAGGTGTAAGCTGAACCCAGTGGTTGTTAGGCAACCGGGATCTGCCAGCTCAGGTCTGTGTTGAGGAAGATACTGAAAGCCAGGCATGGGTGAGAGAAACAGACCACAGCAAGGAGAGCCCGAGGGACAAAAGCAGGGTCTAGGAGTGGCCCGTGGGGTCGGCCTGCGTCTATTCTGTTATTTCACCTCAGAAAAGCCGAGGCAATCCCAGGTATGAAAGAGGTCAGGGATGCAGTGAAAGTAACTCCAGTTTCACGGCAGTGCTAGTATCTTCTCTCTCTGTGGCTGTGTGCGCCTCGGCAAAGTTGGAGCCCCCACCTTTCAGAGGTCATGTTAGTCTGGGATTTCCAGAACACACTGCGGAATGTACATTGTCCTATCATCTGAATATAAAGAACTCTGATGGTCTCAGTATTTTCTAAATCCAAATGGGGAAGGAGGGCTTTAGGATATCCTTGGAATCCAGGCTGGTGGCCTCTCTCTATTCTGTACGTACACACACAGGCGCGTGCACACACACACATACACACACACACACACGCACGCGAGCACACACACGCACACGCACGCATGCACACAAGCATACACATGCATGTGCACACACATGCATACACATGTGCGCACACATGCACATAAACATACACATGCACACACGCACACATGCATACACTCAGTCACAAGTGACATCACTGAAGCAGTGCACACTCGGGCAGGGAGAGACAAGGAAAGCTACTGAACGTCAGTGGACCCTTAAGCGCGTCCTGTCCAGATGAAGTAGCTCAAGGAGCTGAATGCAGCAGTCATGATGCTACAGAGCACAAACAGAACACTGAAGCCCCACCGTTACCTTTTCTTCGTTTGCTGCCATCAGGGACTCCACAGCCTTTTTCATTTTTTGTACTTCAATGTCTGAAAAAACGAAGCCACACTGTCAGGGGGCACTTCAGCTAACCTGTGAGAGAAGCCACGCTCTTCTGTCTGAAAACTCTCAAGGTAAACATGGCCGTGATTCTCTCCTAGGGACAGTAAGGGGTGAGCACGCTCTCCCTCAGCCACACAGCTGTCACTCCAGAAAGATAGCAATGTGGGTAGGGGGGAGCGGGATACCCTTTCTTAGAGAAAGAACAAAACCTCTAAACACTGACGATGAAATATGGGTGCAGCAGCAATGACAGTACCGAGTTTTCAAAAAAGGAAGTCACGGGCAGTGAGTGACAGCAACGGATGGTGTTCAGAGACCAAGGCAGAGGGACGGTGCTCAGTTATAACCAAGCTGGAGATGCCATGGTGAGAGCCTGAGCATGTGTTCATGTAAGCAGCCATGCTGAGAAGCCAGCTGTCGTTCCACAGAAGGGAGAGTAGCCTGCTTCATCTCCAAGCCTCATTTCTAGCACTGTTCTAAAACAGAAGCCGAAACACCACAGCCACAGTGTGCAGGGTGCGACTCTCCTTAAAGTTTGATGGCCAAGTACAAGTGCTACTTGAAGCATGAAAACCTAACGTATTTTTTAATAAAAGTGAACATTCAACCCCAAAGGGAACCGACAATTAAAATGTAGAAAAAGGAGGATATTTAGATAAAGTCACCAACTTAAGGGGGAGTCAGGATTCTAGTAATCTTAAAAACCGGTACTGATGCATTTTCAACTAGGAATGGCTGAGGTCTGCTTGTTGTTTGTTTTAAAGCAAGTTCCCTTAACCTATGTTTATGGGGCATTAAATAGCCCCGGGCTCTGTAAAGCCTCAGAGTAGACCACCCCCCTCACATAATAATGAGCTCCGAAGCAGCCGGAGCAAAGCTCAGCACACGCTCTGGCCATGGTGACAGAGTCGCGTCTCCGCAGATGTGCACGCTGTCTTGTCCCCTGCACCTGAGTCACCCACACCACAGAGAGCATGCTCTCTGAGCTCACTTCTCTGTGCGCCCTGCTGCACTCTGGGAAGTGAACGGGCTGCAGGAAAGAAAAACCCGCAACATGATCTTTCCCTGCGCGTTTTACAGCCTGTGTGTCTAGCCTCTGCTTTGCACACCGTGAAGAAATGGGGGCTTACTGATGAAGCAGCTGCACGTGTTTACTGACAGAAATGTTTTAAACATGCAGAGAATGCAGTGGCACTGCTGGCAAACGAGAGGCTGACGGGAAGACACCAAAAACCTTACTTTTCTCTTTCAGCTTCTTTTTAACATTTTCATCTGCACAGGAAAACCCATCGGATTGGAAGTTAGCATACATTACAACAAAAACTCTATCTTAGAAGTCCTAGCACCGGGTTTCCCTGTACCTAAGCGCTGGACTCTCAAAACAGCCCAGATAGGAAGGACCATGCATGCGTGTGGGCCTGGCAGTGCAGTCAGCGCAGCCTCGGGAGGAACTCCCATGCAGACAGTTGAGTTGCTCGCTCTGAGCTTCAGCTTTCTGAACCTCGCTGTTTCCATGTGAAAGTTAGGCCCACGGGCCCAACCAACCAGGATGCGGACCGGCCAGCGTCGCTCCGGTAGGTTTTTCCAAATGTCAGTTTGACACCTGGTCCTCCTGACTCTGTGCCACATCCAACACTCAAGTCCAACATCACTGCAATGGTCTGTCCCCTGCTCCAGGAGACAAAGTCCACTGATGACACAGTCAGGAACAGGGTTAGACTGCCAGGAGGTTTCTAAACCCCTGTGTTCAGACCCTGAGCTTAGCTGGTCCTGTGGTTCAGACTGGTTCCAATCCCCGATTCGGAGTGGGCAGCACTCCCTAAACACACCTCCAGCCTACACGCACTCACTCAGGGTCCACTCTAGTCTGAAACTCTAAAAGTGGGACCACCATTGTGGTTCAGGGGTACAGCATGTGATTAGCAGATTCAATCCTAAAACGGTGATCTGTTTCTGAATGTCCTATAACATTGTTTTACTTACGTCAAAACTCAGGAAGGAAAGCCCGCCTCTCTAAAGCTGAACACACTGAGTTTCTAGTGGGTATAAAATGCTACTTGATTCCATACAAAACCCAGCGCGACAAAGCTCCGCCAACTGGAATCTGGCTGTCCAAATGAGCCAGAAACTGCTCTGGTGTCCAGCGTCATGGTTGTCACTGGACATATTTATGGATGCACGCACGCACACACGCATGCATGCATACATACATTCATACATACATCACAAAGGAAGGCCAAGTCTGACCTAGTATCCCAGATATTATACATATTATATTGCAAGATTTAACAACAAATGAATCAGGGTCTCCCTGTGTCGTCCAGGCTGGTGTCCAACCTATGATCCTTCCGCTTCAGTATCCAGGAACTGGGACGGCAACTGTGTGCCACTCCACCAGACCGAAATGTAAGTTTTTTTTAATGTCACTGGGGTTGTTTTTCCATTGCCCAACTTCAGCTCCTCTCCAATGCTTCACGGGATTGTGACAGAGCAAGGTATCCAATGACAGACGACGGTCTTACCTCGATCAAGGCTCTCCACCCCGTCTCCTCTCGCCTTGCAAAGCACTCTCTCCTGCAGCCTCTGCACTTCACGGTCCTTCTCTTCCAGTTGCTCTTTTAGAGATGTCAATTCATCCTACAAAAATCACAAGTTCACTTTACAACAGTAGACTATGGCAGAGGAGGGATATTTATAGAGCATATTAGCCCTGAAGTCAAAACTCAGGCTACGTGAATGAGACAAAAATTTGCAAAAACTTACACACAAACACAAATTAGACAGAGGCGATGGTGAGCACTACTAATATGAGTAATTTGTAATAATTACGGTGTGGGTGTAAAACTCAAGTTCGTGAGTAAATGTAAGAAGAAACAGAATAACCAGGACATGGTATTCCCTAAAGCTCCGCCTACATTAAATCAAAAAGTCTCACCAAGTTAATCAGAGAAGATGGCCAAAATTAGATACTTGTCATAGAAGCAAAATCAAATACTTCCTCAGCATTTCAAGGTGACTCTCACGATTCTGGGATAACCACTGGGCTTCAGCAGCCATGGGGAGGCAATTGGGGGGTGACTATGAAATGGGGGACTAGATAATCCACCCTCACCACTGAACAAGACAGACTCCTGCAGCAATGGGAAAGGGGGAACCTAGAAAAAGAGGACTTAAGTCTTCCTGTTGTCGGTGTACCTGCAGAAGCTTCTGAGGCCACTGACGGATTTGTAAACGTTTTAAACTTCAGTTTTGCTTTCCAAAGTACTGGCTGCAGCAAACTTATATATTGCAGGCTGCATCTGATGCAGAAACTAGGTTGTGCAACAACAGCACGTCTGCCTTTTACTCAGTGTGGCATTTACTCACAGAATCTTCATTCAGCCCTCTGCAGGGCTGTGAAAATGCACGCAGGAGGCCCAGCTGGCCTTGTACTGCTGTCTTATGGTGAGGGTGGAGTAAGTTCGGAAGACTTCAGAGCCCTGCCAGCTGGGCCGCTGGGCTCTTGGGCAGTGGCTTCCCTTCCCTGCCACAATGACGAGCTCAGCATACACACTGACCTTCCAGAGAGCCCTAACAGAGGAGAGCAGGCTCCAGCTACTCAGGTGGAATTCCTCCACAGTCGAACTTTTTAACAATGACTTTTAATATGCTTAGGGGTCAGGTAGTCTAAGGATTAAGCTTATAAGCTAATACTTTTATATTTCACCCACTCGTTATTTGCATTAAGATCTCATTGTCCTTTTAATCAGGGTGGGTGTATTCTTAATAAACAGGTGGCACATGCACGCGCGCACGCACACACACACACACACACACGCACACACACACAATAAATGCGCATGCTACTAAAAAAACACCATCACAGCAAAACGACACAAGCCAGAAGGCAATAGCCGTGGGGCTCCAACAAAGTCACCTTCAGTGCGTCCCATTTTTGTTCCATCCGCTGCTTTTCATACTGCATCTGACCCACCTTGATTTTCATGCTAGAAAGTTTGGCCATTAAAGACTGGTAGAGAGACAGAGGGAGTGAGAGAAAACAAGGCAGAAAAAGACAGGCAAAGTAACCAAGAGAAAACAGTATCAGTTCTCGAAGAAGGTTAGCTAATTCAGAAACGGCAGGCGGTGTCCTGCCAAAGTGACTAAGCCATTGGGTCCTACTGAGGACGCTAGCACGCAAGCTCATTGTCTCCAGCCTCAGGGAAACACCGTTTACTCGTAAGGCATGTACGTCATCGTGTACGAGCTGGGAAACACTTTTACGTGAGAGCGATCACAGAACGGTAGGCCACGTTTAAAAAAAAATTACTTTTTTTTTCCAGAGAGAAACTTACTTTAGTTGACTTAAGTTTTTTCTCATACTGAAGTCTTTCACTGTCCATTTCACTGACTTTTAACCTCAAATCATTGATCTCTTGTATTAGCCCCTGTCCAAAAAAAAAAAAAAAAAAACAAACCATTAGAAAAGGGTATAGCACAGTTCCCAAAAGAGTAGCCAGGAAGCCATGAGCCAGGAACAGCTCCTCGAATATGAGCTATGAGAACCAGGGAGATCCAGTGAAGTTTACCTCTGACAGCCAAAGCATACTTGCACTAACACAGTAACTTAAGTTCCCAGGACCTCTGCCCGCAAGTGCTGGGTTTATGGAAACTAACAGGGCTGTGATTCTGACTAGGAAAATGCTGTTGTTGGAATGTTGTGGATAATCCTCCTGTACACTGTAGATATGTATCGCTCTCATTGGTCAATAAAGACCTGACTGGCCCGTCAGGAAGTATGGACGGGACAGCCAAACTAAGGATGCTGGGAAGAAGGAGGGCAGAGTCTAGGGAGACACCGGCCAGCGGGCTGAGGAAGCAGGACGTGCAGAAAAAAAAAAAAGGTACCAAGCCACATGGCAGAGAACAGATAAGAAATATGGGTTTATTTAAATTTAAGAGTTAGCTAGTAACGAGACTGAGCTATTGGCTGAGCATTTGTAATTAATACAAGCCTCAATGTGTTTATTTTGGGAGCTGCTGGCAGGACAAAAACTCCTGCCTACAGCTGGAATCCTTGGAGCAAGTGCCCGGCATGGTACCATAAGGTTGAGGAACCTGTAAGGGGTCAGGCCTATAGGGCGATCCTTTGACCATCAGGGGCATGCCCCTGAAGGGGACTGGGGAAACCACAGTGCCTTCCCCCTCTTTTCTGCTTCCTGGTCATGAGGTGAGCAGTTTTCTGTGCCACACACTCAGGGTAATGTGCTGCTTCATCACTGGTTCACAAGGAATGGGGCCCACTGACCCTGGACTGAAATCTCCACCACTGTGGGCTACAATAAGCCGCCTCTTCATAAGCCGTCTGGGGTATCCGTCATAGTGGTGCGCCCTGCTTTCCCTCCTGCTGCTGTGATTAAACACTCCGACCAAAAGCAGCTGAGGGGAAGAAACGGTTTTCGCCGGGTTTACACTTCCAAGTCACAGTCCGTCCCGGGGGAAGTCGGTCGGGGTGGGAAGCCAAGTCAGGGGCCTGGAGGCAGGAACCAGACGAGTACTGCTCACTGGCTCCTTCACAGGCTCACTCACTGGCTCATGCTCGGGCTCACTCACTGGCTCCTTCACGGGCTCACTCACTCACTGGCTCATGCTCGGGCTCACTCACTGGCTCATGCTCGGGCTCACTCACTCACTCACTCATGCTCGGGCTCACTCACTCACTCACTCACTCACTCACTCACTCACTCACTCATGCTCGGGCTCACTCACTCACTCACTCATGCTCGGGCTCACTCACTCACTCACTCATGCTCGGGCTCACTCACTCACTCACTCACTCACTCACTCATGCTCGGGCTCACTCACTCACTCACTCACTCATGCTCGGGCTCACTCACTCACTCACTCATGCTCGGGCTCACTCACTCACTCACTGGCTCATGCTCGGGCTCACTCACTCACTCACTCATGCTCGGGCTCACTCACTCACTCACTCATGCTTGGGCTCACTCACTCACTCACTCATGCTCAGGCTCACTCACTCACTCACTCACTCACTCATGCTCGGGCTCACTCACTCACTCACTCACTCACTCACTCACTCACTCACTCACTCACTCACCTGGCTCATGCTCGGGCTCACTCACTCACTGGCTCATGCTCACTTAGCTTTCTTAGGCAGCCCAGGAGACGGAGGTCCCCACAGTGGGCTGAGCCTGCTGCATCAGTTAAGACGAGCAAGACAATTCCTCACACATGTCCACAGACTAACCCGACACAGACAAATGACGCCCTGGGACTGTGTCAAGTTGACAGTCAGTGCTTACCGGGACATGACAGAAATGGGACTAGCTCTCAGAGGCAGTTTAACACCGGGCTCAAAGCCACTTAGCAACCAGTCCTACATTCAAACTATCTACGAACTCCATCACATAAACTAGAGATTTTCTCTGGCATAACCATTTACTTAATATCCTTTTCTGTGACATATTAGTAGTTATTTGAAGATTTCTGTAATTGTTTGCCTAGTCTACAAAAATGCAGACCTAAATTTCTTTAAACCAAGAACCTCAAACTGAAGACAGAGATGAAGGTGTTTTATGTGTGTGTGTTCATATATCTAATACAATACAGTGGTGTAATTTTATATGTGCAAAATTGTAAAATATCCAAATGACAGAATATAATTTAACACCATTTCTGCTATCATTTTCAAATTGTGCTTTTAAAATTTGCCCAAATACCCTGAATTCAGTTTAAAAAGAGTCAGTTCCCCCATATGCTCATCTTCCCTGCATAGAAGCCAAGAGTGGCCTTCCTTCCCCGGCCTTTTAGACTTTGTTATAGTTAGCGGGCAGCTTTGAACTCCCAGCACGTGCTGTTGCAAACGCCAACACTTCCTTTAGTGGTGATTGCAAAGACAAAGAAACAACTACAGAAAACTGAACTGTATGTATATTGAGGACATTTTCGTGTTTTTGTTTTTGTTTTTTTAAGAAAAACGGTCCAAGCCAGGCAGTGGTGGCATACGCCTTTACTTCCAGAACTTGGGAGGCAGAGGCCCCACAGATCTCTGTGAGTTTGAGGCCTGGTCTACACAGAGAGTTCCAGGACAGCCAGAGAAACACTGTCTCAAACAAGCCCCGCGCCCCCAAAAGAAGGCAAAAACCAAAGCTCAACTATCCAAATGTTTTTGGTGGAAATGCATTTTAAATATGAATTAAAGGTCCAACATGGGAGAAGTCTGATATGCCCATGACAAGTCTGGCTGGAAAATATGGCACTGTATCCTTAAGGCTATGTATGTATATATGTATATACATATGCACATATATATGTATATATCTTTACATATACTAATTTGGTTAGTTAATCAGTTCAGCCTCCTTTCAGAGCTGAATTTTTTGGCCATCTGTGTTCATACCAGAAGGGGGCGCTGTTGGATGAGCCAAGCACCTCCCAGTAACAAGTTCCAGGACATGCCAAGTTCTAAGTCTTCAAGGTTTAGAGATTTTAATGCGCTATTTTTGGAAATGCCTATAAGTGTTCCTCACTTCAACATTTTCGTGGAAACTAATAGCCAAACACTCTAAAATTCTCAAATAGTGTTGAGATTTGAGATTGCAGAAATAACTAGGCAAATGTTTTATTTTGAAGGAAACATCAAGCCAGAACATGTGTACATATCCCATTCTGTTTCAACGTTTGAAGACTATCTTTGATAATTTTTATATAAAATCACAACATCAAATATTCTGTCGTCTGCCCTGTGAAGATTTATACACTGTATCTGCAGTGTGGATTGGTTCAGAGAAAATGACCAGGGCTTGTTTCCTAGCAGTGCGTTCATGGCGTCACTGGGCATTTGCATGAGAACACGTGAGAAGAATGGAAAGTGGGAAGCCTGAGGCTGACAGGATGAGGAAAGGGAAAACACCTTAGCAGATTCTTGTAGAAAGCCATTAAAGTAGGGCCAGGCGGCGGTGACGCACGCCTTTAATCCCAGCACTCGGGGAGCAGAGGCAGGAGGATCTCTGAATTCAAGGCCACCCTGGGCTACAGAGCGAGTTCCAAGACAGCCAGGGCCACACAGAGAAACCTAGTCTTGAAAAAGAAAACAAAAGAAGAACAACAAAAAAGCACTAAAATAAGACTTTTAGAGAGGCTGGGTCACGCTCCTGCTTTAAGAGGCTCAGTCCTGATTACGGTGGAGTGTGCTCTTAAGCGGGACTGACAAGGGGTTCCAAGGTCAGAACTTGGACTAAGATGGTTATTTCTTTTTTGCCACGAAGGAAGTAGACAACCAAGGCTTTCCGCAGTAACTGGATCTTGGATGGGAAACTTTCCTTTGGGAAATCACCATGGAGTAAGTTAATAATCATCTCAAGCGTGACATCACATGGCATGGATAACACAGTCTGTGATATGCAAATACTTGACATGAAGGGAAGAGAAAAGGAAACAACCCTCCTCCCTCCCCTTCCTGGTACTCGGGACACTGACCCAGGATGCTGCCCAGCACCCCGAACCAGGAGACAAAACAGGAAATACAGAGGAGTGGTGACCCCAAGAAGGAATTTCTGCAGCTCCTTCCCACTTTTCATTTCACTTCGGTTCATTTGTGGCATCAGGGGACTGAGCATGGCGGTGAGCACGTGCTGGAAAAGGATCCCGCCCCTTGGCTGCATCCTCAGCCCTGGGTTTCATCCTAAATGGAGACCTGAAGTAGACAGATACGCTCCGCCTCTCCCCCACCAAACACCAGACTAGAATTCTAGAATTCCCAGATCAGCAATAAGATGAGAGAAGAAGTTTCTCCTGCCACAAATGCTTTAAAGATTCAGAGAGAGAGAGAGAGAGAGAGAGAGAGAGAGAGAGAGAGAGAGAGAGAGAGAGAGAGAGAGAGAGAGAGAGAGAGAGAGAGAGAGAGAGAAGTGATTTTTTTAAAAACTGGCTTGCTCAGGCTGCTTTCTTTTCTTTCTTCTTTTTTTTTAAGATTTATTTATTTATTATGCATACAACATTCTGCCTGCATGTATATTCACATGCCAGAAGGGGGCACCAGATCTCACTACAGATGGTTGTGAGCCACCATGTGGTTGCTGGGAATTGAACTCAGGACCTCTGGAAGAGCAGCCAGTGCTCGTAACCTCTGAGCCATCTCTCCAGCCCCGAGAAGTGATTTTTTTGAGCCACCCATTTTAAGTGCTGGGAACCAAGCTCCGGCCCTCTGCAAGAGCAACAAGTGCTCTTAATTGCTGAGCTATTGTGCCCCTCCCCCACAGGCACTTTCCATTGTAGAATTCACACTAAATTTCATAGAAGTATAGAGAATTTTAGCTAATTACAATGACTTATATGTGGAACATACCAAAAGTTAAGAGTCAAATAAAAGGGTCTCCACATGCTAGACTTCTGTGAATGTGTAACCTGAGGTTTCTACACATTAACAAATCCCCTTAAGACACAGTAAATGACTAGGGGGCCTAAATAAGGACAACTGGTAAAACCATGTACTCAATTACACTATTTCAAATTAAGAAAACCAGCATGGTTTTGTCAGGCAGGTGCCACGAATATCCTGTAGTCAAAACTAGTTCTTATTTCAAAGAAACAAACTCTAAGCCCAAAAAACTGGAGTTAGCATTTAGTGAAGAAATTACAATGTGGTTAAGGTTTATCCTGAGATCTTTTTTATTTACTGTTTTCTTTTTTTTTTTTTTTTTAGACAAGGGTTTCTTGGTGTCCAGTCTACTCTCAAACTCCCTGCGTAATGGAGGCTGGCTCTGAACCCCTGATCCTCTGTGCTGGGATTACAGGCACCTTGTGCCGCCATGCGCATGGCTTACTGTCTTTGGAGTGGTGCTAAGGGTAAAAGTCCTGATCATGAGACCTATTACTGAGCTACACTCCAAAACCTAAAATTTCTTAAAAGGAAGCAGGATGAGAGGACATTGTAACCAGTCACCTTCCCTTCATAGCTCCAGGGATTTTTGGCTTTGTCCTGGGTATGTGTGTATGTGGGCTGGGGGGGGGGGGGGATAAGAGGGAGGAGGGAAGCAGGCACACTTCTCACCTCTGTGTCTCTGAACCTGTCTTCATAGTCCAGCCTGTCCTTCTCGACAGCCGTCAGTTTCAACTTCAGGTTAGAGACCTCAGCCATGAGCTCCAGCTTCTGTGTTTCTAAGGAGGTCCTACTCAGAAGCTCCTGTTAGGGTTTCAGATTAATATCCACAAGCCGTTTTAGCATAAGTTCTGTCGTGACCCCAAAGCAGCAAAGGTTAAATTGAGCACGGTCTGTGGGCTAAGAGTGGCGGCCACGCGCCACGCTGCTGAGGACCACGTTACTCTGGCGACCACTTCTGGACAGAACTAAACACACCCCCAGGTTGTCGGGAAGAGGCATCTTTTCCCTACACTCTGAAGCCTAACGACAGCATTGCTGTACTCAGAGCTTGCTACGTGCCAGGGACTGGGAGACATTCTCATATGTGGTTCCATCTCTGCAGCAATCTTAGGAGGTCCAAAAGCTTATCAGCCTCATTGATCAGGGTTCCTAGGGACCTGGAAACTGAGGGACAGAGAGGTCACGAGCCTGTCGGGGCATGCAGGCAGGCAGCGTGGCAGACAGACAATCAACAGAGGCAGTTCTGTTTCCGTGCGCCCCGTGTGTACTCTGCCCACGGCATCACAAGGCTTCGCACCTACAAGCCCTGTGTGCACACACGATGTGTGTGTCGGGGCTCACTCTTTGTTGTGTTTTGTTTTGCTAAAAACAAGTTGCACATGGTGTTGATCATCTCATGGTTGAGAGCTGGAAATAGTATGAATGCAAGAGACCAACTTACAACTCCTGTGACACTGTACACTGTTCTGACTGAATGACTCTGCACGTCTCTGTGTTTCTAGACTCCTCTACTCAAGGCTTTAAGTGCACCGGTCCTACGGGATTCTGGGATTCACTGCCACAGACACTAGACAGGAATGTGACCCCTCCCCCACAGGCTTCGGCCCATACCTGCTGCAGCATCTCCTCCGTGGCATTCAGCTTCTCTCTGTGCTCCTCAAGACAAAACTCCAAATCTCGAATCTTCTCTCCCTGAGCCTCTACTTGGTCTGTCAACACGCTCACCTGTTAATTTAAAGCAAAAGACAGCAATGGGTTCGAGAGACTCTGGGTCCCAGAGCATGCTTCATTCTCTAACTGTAACAGTGAGACCCATCACTCCTGGTGGCTTAAGACATCCCCGGCTTGACAAGGTGACAGTGGTCCTTCCCTTTGCTACTTACATTCTGTTCCGTGTGGGTCAAACCGAGGGCCTTGTGCGAGCTAGGCAGGCACTGTGCTGCTCAGTGGTGTCTGCGGCCCTTTGCTGCCCTATAACTTAAGGAATCCTACTCAACTTAGGAGAGACTGGGCGCTGATCAGAGAGATGCAATACTTTACATATTAAAATCACTTCTGTTACAAGGGTATATAAAAATTTTGATTTCTAAGGTGAAGAACCAGGATTAGAGGGCAACAGAGAAAATGAGGTCCATATTTGAAACAGACATTTAGGACCCACCGCACAGATCTCATTCTCCAATTAAAAAAAAAAAGGAGCAAAAATAAATAAAGAACTCAAATTCTGCAAGCTCTTTCAGGGTCAACACAATCCTAAATTTGTTCAGAGCCAGGGTGTGACGAAGAGTGGTATACTGTTTTCAACACGTGCAAGACCCTTCAGTTCCCAGAATCACAAGGAAAAAAGAAACAGCCAGAGTATACCACAGCACACTCAAATGCCCCAAGAAACAGCGGGGTTCATCTCTCGTCCTCAGGGTCCCATGCGGATCTACAGGTCTCTCCTCGGGGATCACCAGCTGAGTAAATATACTTTGATGTGGTTTGTTCCAAACATAAAAGCATTTTCTCTGAACTTAGAAACTCCACGAAGAAGCAAACAAACATCCCACTGCAGTTTCCAACAGCAGGCTCCACTCAGGCTGCTCTGCTTGGTTCGTGTATCATTTTCAAAGCTTGGAGGTTAATATGTATATTCAGGCTGAGATATTTACACTACAGGTACTCGCAGATCTGATTTTCTACTTCAAACATCTGTAAAAATCAGACCTAATGGTAGGTAACACAGGAAGTCATCTCAAGTGGCACTGAGTCTGACTGGAGGGCCCAGTCAAGGACCTGTTCCTGTGGACTGGGTGACATACTCTTGGCCCCCGACAGCCAGCCCACCACACTCCCTGTATGGCTGGCTGGCCTAGCACACTACTCCTTTTGTGAGGTAGGCTCTTACACTATAGTCCAAGTTGGCCTCAAACTCACAGCAATCCCTCCTAAGCGCTGGGATTACAGACACTGACACCACAGCTTCTTTCTACCCACTGTATTATTTCTGTCAGTAGCTGGTCGGGTTACTGTACACATTTGAACTGAACTTTTCATTTTCTATAGTCCCTTGGAATCTGTGTGGGGCTGGCTCAAGAATCCCTGCAGATACCAAAGTCTGCATGCTCAAGCCCCTTCGTAGAACACCAGGGCACTCACATGGAACCCAAATACCTTCCTTATGCTCCCAGACACCATGAGGTCCCTCAGTACAACATAACACATGTGAACACTGTTACGTTGCCATTCAACCACAGGTATTCACGTATCTGACGGCCCTTTTACTACAGGTGTAATGAGTTCCCCATTTACCAGATCCAAAGTTGCAAGGACACTCTGTGTCCTGAGAAAGGAACTTGCCTGAAGAACAAGGGATTCCTTGTCGTTTTCTAGACGCGCTAGCCTTTCTTGATATACGTCTCCATTCCCAGGTAGGTGTCCGTTTGTCTGAACAAGAAAATAACACAGGTCAACTCTCCTTTAGGATTGACATGTTATGAATCAGTAAAATTGACATTTAAAAAAAATCCAAATGGCAACATATTAAATCCATCATATCTGTCACTGCCATGAATGGAAAATAGAATTAATTGACTTCAAAGTAGGTATGGCAGGCACAGCGGGCACCTGCATACAATTGAGCACCTAGACACAACTGACTGACCCACACCATTTCTGAGCAAACAGAAGACAAGTGCCCTGTCTTAGTTCTCAATGTACTGCTACGATAAGACACGGACCTAAAAACCACCTGGGAAAGAAAGGATTTGTTATAGTCCACCATAATGAAAGTCAGGGCAAGAAAGGAAGCAGAGGTCTTAGAGGAACCTTGCTCACTATCCTGCTCCTCATGGCCTGCTCAGCCTGCTTTCTTATACAACCCAAGACCACCTGCCCTGGAATGCCCTCACCCCAGTGGGCTGAGCCTTCCACATCAATCATTAGTTAGGACTATGCCCTCTGGGCCCGTCTATGAGCTGATTTGATAATGGGGACCTTTCCTTGGTTGAGCTGTGTCAAGCTCACAAAAAAACGCTAACAGCACAACTTTCCTCGGTTGAGGCTGTGTCAAGCTCACAAAAAACGCTAACCAGCACAGTCTCCACAAAGCAGTGGCTGCTGGGATCCCCCAGTGGCCGCAGGCACAGACAGACAGCCCCGGGGCACACAGAGTTCTGAGTAGTTTGTAGAAGACAATACCCCACTTGTCCCTGAAGGGCTGCTGTCACTAACCTTGGGTGTGTACAACAGTGAGTATGACCTGTGATGTCCTCCCATACCAGCTACACAGGACTGTCAATGCCTGCCGAGGGAGCAAACCTCGGGGGCAGTGTCTGCCGGGGCTCCTCCTGCTCGCTTGGCCCTCCAGTCCCAAGATGAGGGCTCCTGCCCAGAAGCCTTCAGAAACACTCAGTCCAAAGTGATTTCCCCCGACGGCAGTGCCTGGCTAAGCTACCAGCTTTGCAATCATTTTCCACCTTGGCTAAACGAAGGTCTTAAGTGTTCACACAAAGCTATGGCCAGCCACTAGGCAAAGCCTGAGCATCAGTTGTGCCTTCCTGGCATCTGGCTCCGTGTTTCTCCATGCTCACTTTCTTACTGTCCTTCCAGCCTGCTATTTTTTTTTCCCTAACCCCATTTGGTATATTATGCACAGTACAACTTTCCAAGGAAGCACAGACATTTTTTTCTACAGATTTTATTTTTATTTATTTATTTTTGAGACACAGTCTTCCTGGGCAGCCCTGGCTGTCCTGGAACTCACTATGTGCACCAGGCTGGCCTCGAACTAATGGAGAGTCACCTGCCTCTGCCTCCTGCATGCTTGGATTAAAGGTGTGAGCCACTGCACCTGACTTTTCCTTCCTTTTTCTTTATATCCAAGTCACGAAAAAGCAAGAGACATACAATTGTCACTCTGAAACAGTAGCGGCATGGCAACTTGAATGCAATTGGCCCCCATAAGCTCACCGGGAGTGAAACCATTAGGAGATGTGGACTTGTCAGATGAAGTGTGTCACTGTGGGGTTGGGCTCTGAGGTCTCACATATGCTCAAGCCACACCCAGTACCTCCCACCATTTCCTGATACCTTTGGGATCAAGGTATGGCTCGTTCTCCCTCACCGTGTCTGATGGGGGATGTTCTTTTGTGTGCTGTGAGTTCTCTTACTGGTTGATGAATAAATGCTGACTGGCCAATAGCCAGGCAGGAAGACGGTGCTACCAGACTAGGGGAAGGCTGGGAAGAGGAACAAAGAGGGAGGCCTGAGAGAGGCCACGTAGCTGCCGAGAAAGCAAGAGGCTCTGGCATCACCGGTAAGTCAAGACCAAGCGGAAATACATAGATTAATAGAAATGGGTTCATCATTAAGAGAGAGTGCTAGCCAATAAGAAGCCTGAGCCATGGTCCAAACAGCTTATATTAATATAAGCCTCTGTTTATTTATTTGGGACTGAACAGCTAGCTGCAGGACCTGGTGGGACAGAAACTTCAATCTGCCATATCTTCCCTGCATAACATCATGTCCCGCCTTGATGATAACGGGCTGAACCTCTGAAACTGTAAGTCCCCCCAATTCCATGTTTTCTTTATAAGAGGTGCCATGGTCATGGTGTCTCTCCACAGCAACAGAACCCAAGACAGAGTACATGAGACACCCCCCTTTACTGTCCCTCCTTCTTCCACTACCCTCTCCTTCTCCAGGAGGTCACTCTGGAGTCCAGAAATGTCTTCCTGCTTTAGCCTCCTGGCACAAACATAAGCCACTGCGCCCAGCTTGTGATATGTTTCTTGTGATTTCATTTAAATAGTTTATAGACACATTATGTATTTTAAATAGTTTATAGACATTATATATTTTAACTCGAGAGGCTTCTCTGGATATCCCTCTAAATACAACAGAGATAAAAGCCAAAAGGAATCCAAAAGAGAAAGGTGAGGCATCCAGAATTCAGCTGAAAAGCCAAGCCCTTCAGAGTTACAATCAGAAGAAACTCAGACTGTGCGCTCGTCCCTGGGTACACTTGATGTGACATCTATTCCTTCTCCAGAAATAGCCTGTGTCTATTCTACCTCTCCAGTTTCCTGTTTCAGGTTTTGGGAGTGATGTGTGTCATGTGTTGAGAGCAAAACAAAGTGAGAGAAGGGAGAGGAAAGGGAGGAAGGGGGTGAGGAAGGGAGGAAAAAGGCGAGAGAAGAAAGAAAATTTAGATTGGAGGCATTCCTTCTGAAGATGTCGACACCTGGGATGATGTTGCCCAAGAGACCACAAGAAACACAAAAGCTAATTTAGCCTAGTGTGCACTGCATGTTTAGAGTGGGCGTAATGTCAACATCAGCTGTCCAACCACATGCCTGCACCATTACCAATGCAAACTCTGCTCACACTGTTAACTCAAGTGCCCAGAATTAACTTACGAGCGTCTGATGGAGTTGTCAGAGTGATTTAACAGCCCCTGGGGGCCACGAAGATGAGATGTTCCTAAATGCTTGAGGAGAGCCTTCTGGAAAACAGCCAGAATGCATGACATATGTCCTCAGTCTGTGAAAATGCAGGGACAGACCCTGGACAGCTAACACATGACGTATGTATGTCCTGAATCTGTGAAAATGCAGGGGTAGACCATGGATGGCTTTCAATCCCTTGCTTTGACTATGCACAGTACGAGACATCTGTTTTTAAAATCCTTTTCGTGTCATGTTTTATAAACACATTTCATTAAGTTAGAAAATGCTCTGTGTTCAGAGGTAGAACTTTTTCTTTTGTCTCTCTTTAAGAGACAGGGTGGGGCTCCCTGCATTGACCAGGCAAACAGCAAACATGTGGGCTCAGGCAAATCTCCTGCCTCAGCATCCCGAGTAGCTCTGACAGCAGTCATGCGCCACGGAGTCCAAACAAAACGTATCCATTCCGTTTTCCTCCTGTGGTTCTGGTCATGGACGTTCACCACACAGAAGCGCTCACAGGCCCCACTGTCGAGCTCCACCCTGTCCCTTCATTCTGAGTGCAAGAAACCCTAGCCAGAGTGGCAGCTTTCTCTTTTGGGTCAAATACTAATATAGAAAACGAGGTGTTTCAGAACCAGTTCTCCAAGGTGAAAGGCTGAGAACTGACTCAAAGCGAGTCAATGAGTCAGAAGTGCCCTGACATTTGTAAATGCTTGTAATACTCAAAATCAGCTGTATTCCGCAGCATTAACAGTCTCCACAGGGACCCGAAGCAAAGAGTCTTAGGGATCGCTACACAGGGTGGTAATGTGTTTAAGGAGATAAAGTTACTCTGCCCGCAAGTCCTCTTTCTTCCTGTCACTTCTGCTTAAGAATACCGGAGCTAAGCCTAGGAGGCACCTGTCACCTCTGTCCCTCCCTCATGCTCCGCCTCCCAGGTGGCTCAAGCCCTTCCTCCAAGCAGCATGTTCTCTGTGCTCACACAAGCACTGAATCCCTTTTACCTGGATGTCCCTCTTTTCTTTTTTATTCTTTTCTTAAGCCTTCCCTATGTCCTACACACACACACACACACACACGCACACGCACACGCACACACATTGCTAACTATCTAGAGCAGACATTCCTGCATCCCTCCCCTCTCCGTGAGAGGATGCTGACAGGCCCAATCTTGTGCAGGTAACCATGGCTGCTGAGTTCAAGGGGGCAGCAGCCAAGCTGGCCCTGAAGACCTGTCCCCCGGCACTCCACCCTTCTCCAGTTCTTACTTTTTCTTCCGCCCCTCTCCCAAGATGTCCCCCGAGCCTTGCAGGGGTATTTGGGCTTTTGAGTTTTCAGGCAGGATGATTCATCTTTCAGTGGTGGTGAGGCTAAAATGACAGAGCAATTAGAGATGCTTTGCCTCTGAAAACAGACGGTGCCTATGTGTGAGACTTGACATTTGTTCTAGGAGTGTCTCCCTCAGAGACTCAAAGGTCCCCAGGTTTGCTGGGGGAAGGAGAGGGAGATTGTGGGTATCTCAGGTCTCTGAGATTCACTGTTCCCTGAAACATTTCTCAGCCTGTTCCTACTTCCTGTGTCTTTACTCTGCATTCAGCACACACTGAGAAAGGAATTTATTACTGGCAAAAGGGTTTCCTCCTCACACGCAAATCCAAAGGCCACCAGCGGGCAGCCGTGGCTCAAGAGGACCTGTAGATAATTGACTTGCGCCCGGAACACTTTCCTTAACGTGTGCTTAATCTGGTCTATTAAAGTGTTTCTGAAGAATGAGGGTGTAGCTCAGTGATAGAGAGCTTGCCCAGTGTGCATGGCTCTGGAGTCCATCCCTAGAAATACAAACAAAACTGCTGGTGACTAGGGAGACGGCTCAGCAGATACGGTTCGTGTCACATAAGCATAAGGTTGGCAATGGGATCCCTGGCATCCACATCACAGCTGAGTGTAATTCCAAGAAGGTGGGCTCTGAGATAGAGAATCCCCCAGAGCAAGCTGGCT